ATAGATCGGCAATTGCCTGATCAGAATTTGCCGTAGAGTTTTCGAATGATAGCGATGCAGGGTAACAGGCTGATTTACGCTTAGTGTTAACAAAATTATAAAACTGTTTTGGATCTTGTGAAAATTGGACCCTACAACGAGTCAAATAGCTTTTATAACACCGGGCGTTAAGCACGGTAAAATTTGACCGAGCCCTTAGGTACCGAGAGAAGGCAGATTGTGAACCGCACATTTTAAATTTATTGTAAAGTCTGGACATAATATTTTTTAGGTGTGACAACTCTTTATTCAACCAAGGAGGTTTATTTGAAATCGTCGGATAGTATAACGGAACACACAGATAAAAGAAGGAATTCAATGCATTATAAAAGATATTAACGGCCTTAGCCACGTTAGTGCATGAATAAAATTCGGACCAGTCATAGCCGGATATAAAAGTATTTAAAAGATAAAAGTTTGCCTTACGAAAGCAGCGGATTCGTTTAACTTTTCGGATTTTTTATTCAGCTCTGTTCTTGCGCCTACAGTCAGCTCTAGAGTTGGATGATAAGGATCTTCCGGTTGTGTAAGTGGTGATGTTCTTGATAGGCAAACGCCTTCTGAATTTGAAACAAAACACAAGTCCAGTTAACGTCCTAAGGAGTTCTTAACATGGTTCACTTGGGATAGCGCAATGTCAAGCAAGCCGTCAATAAAGTCATGCTACGCTAAAGGAAGTAAAATGTTAGAGTTTTTGTCAGGGGCCCATGTCGCACTAGGTATATTAAAATCACCCAATACTATTAACTGATCTCGATCTTGCAGTTTTTTGAAAATAGACTGAATAACGGAAAGGTGATTTGCGTAAATAGGGAACTCAGATGATGGTGGGCTATATGAATAAGTAATATGTATATACAGAACTACCGGGAAACGATAATTTTATACCTAGGAATCGATGTCATAAAATTCTTCGAAAGTTAGTGATTCAGACGAAAAGTTGGAGTCGACAGCAATCAGGACTCCACCTCCCCCGGACTGACGATCAAGCCTATAAATTGTGTATGTCGGAGAGCAAGTACATGTTCTTCGTAGGTCAGTATATGTTCCCTGCGTAAGTGCATTTCCTAGAACGTCATTTAAAGTAGGCATAGAAGAAGCGGATGTGGAGGGCGCAGGGATGGTTTTTTAATGGTATTTTCCATTTCCCCTGAAATATTCTTTTTTCTCTTAGCTTCGTACTCTTTTACAAATATGCCCTCGGGCCAGAAACTGGTGGAACACACAGATGCAAAAAGAGCACAAGGAATACCAATCTTAAATGATGATACTTTCCTGGCATAGGAAAATTTAAATTGTTCAACCTTCAAATCATCAACTTGGATTTTGTTACGGATATAAGCCGTAATATCCAGTGATGAGAGGTCTGGGGCGAGCCGTGAAACAAATACATGTTTTAGCTGGGGCACCCGAACACAAGTAACCGTTTTTGGTACAACACATGCAACCCTTTTTGGTACTACAGAATTAGCCCAGAAAAGAAAATATTGTTATAATATTATTATTTTGATTACCGACAACGTGGTACAATTCACGAGCAGGGCGTTTGAAAGACCAAATGTCTACCAGCAAGGGCGGGCAAATCATCAAATTTGCGAAATATGACAATATTAGTTATGACGATATATTCAGAAGAGAAATGATTGACGACGCATTTCTCGTAGGATATGCGGATGCATTACTGAGTACGCCCAACGGAAGCAGAACGCAACGACATATTCTGTCACGAGCAATCGGACAGATTACCCCGGAAAGTATAGTCGCCAAGATGTGTGAAAGCAAATAGAACTGGAGGGCACTATCGGAGACATTTTGCGCTCGAAGAAAAAGTACCTACCGGTCTCTGGGGATCGCTTCTCCTTGGGTGCCAATGGACATCTAATGTGGCATTTAGAGAGACGAGGTTTAGAGCTTTGTTTGTAGTAGTAATAGTAGTAGTTTTAACCTATGAAGGTAGTGTGAGAATCAGTAAACATTTTCCCCCTTAGCCCAGAAAAGAAAATATTGTTATAATTAATATTATTATTTTGATTACCGACAACGTGGTACAATTCACGAGCAGGGCGTTTGAAAGACCAAATGTCTACTAGCAAGGGCGGGCAAATCATCAAGTTTGCGAAGAAAGGGGAATCATCAAGTTTAAGCTCCCCACAAATCCGATGCAGGAGAGCAGCCTAGTAACAGCGAAGGAGGCGAGAATGTCAAAGGAGTCCAGGTCAAATCGGAATCAACTGGTAACCTAGCGGTACAGCGCTGAACTTAGGACCCCTTTGGTTAATAGGCAGTAACCCTTGGACCCGATCACGTGAGCTGGATCAAAAACATCAAGTCTTCCGACTGAACGACGACGAGTTTTCAAGGCTGAGCTAGCCGCACATTTATGTAGCGAACAACAATAAATAAAAGCAGTTTGTTTCAACCTTTGTCGGGTACTGTCAAAGTTTATAAAAAGAACTGAGCCAAAAACATGTCCGATTTCCGTCACCGGCTCCCGGAACTTAACTAAAAACAGGATATAAGGCAACGGAGTGGCAGAATGTGCCATCCAGGGATGGGGAGAATAATTTGACGAAATCGAAAAATCCTACAAAATTAGGCTCGAACACAGCATGAGCAATATATAGCAACAGAGGAATCAAAGGCCCTACTACTGAGGAAGATAACACAGGCGGGATGTTAACCCAACACACGAACAATGGGAAGCCATAACTTGGCCAGAGCTATCAACGTCTGCCTCCAATGCGAGGCTTCAGTGCACCTCGCACACGGCTCCCCCAACCCACAAAGGAGACAAAGAATAGGAGACGTAATTAGCAGAGACTCTGAGATACGGATAAAAATACCAGGACTACAATCAAACAACGCCCACATGGACATTCTTTCAAATTGGTGGCCAACGGATTGTCCCCCAAGTAAAAGAAGATGGCAAGCAGATACAAGGCACAATCGACACGGGGGATACATGAAGCTTCATCAGTGAAAACCTGACAAGCCGCCGTGCCAGGTACGGGCTACCAAAACAATAAATCTCACAAAATAGGTAAGAGGGCAGAAAACAAGAACCACATTGCTGATGTCCTCAGAGGGTAAACTTGTTGTATAAGTGCAACTCAGCTCTAGCGAGCGAAGGCCTGACCAAATGAATTATCCCCTAAAACTAAAAAACGATCTTGGCGTTCTCTTGGACCCTAAACTAAAATTTTCTAATCACATTTCGTCCATGGTTAATAAAGCCAGAGAAGTGCTTGGATTTATTAAAAGGTGGTCAAAAGAATTCGATGATCCTTATTTGACTAAAACTTTATTTATTTCGCTAGTCCGTCCGATTCTGGAGTATGGGTCTCCCGTCTGGAGTCCACAAAACGGAATACATATTGGTCGTATTGAATCTGTACAAAAAAACTTCCTTCCTTTTGCTTATCTTACCTTCTTATTCTAGTAGACTTCTTTTGATTAATTTACCATCCCTAACCAACCGTAGAACGATGCTTGGTACTATCTTGATTTACAACCTTATACATGGTGATATTGACTGCCCAAGTAAATTAACTAGAAATTATATTCCCCTAATTTTAAATCATTGTAGATCTAACTATGCCTTGCATGAGCCTTTCAGAGTATTATGTTCTGACTATAATAGACTTTTTCCTATAATCTCAAATCTTGACTCTCTGCCGCTCCTAAAACGATAAATACTTGCTTTATTGGCACAAGATTGATCTAACTATTACTTTTTTCTCCGGACCTTTACCTTTATTTTATTATCTCGCGTCTATCCTCTCGCGAATCGTGCCGTACGATACACGGCTGCGCCCCTCGGTCGGTTGGGCGGGTAAGTGGGCAGAGGGACTCCGCGCGAAAAAAAAAAATATATAAAAATTTGGAACCGCAGTAGCGTAGCAGTGATCAGTTGGCGAAGCTTGGTTGGATTCGTAAAAAATTTTTTGCGATTCGGAATACCGCAGGGGCTGGGGGAATGTTTAAACCAAACAGCAAGGGTTTTACAAGAAGGCCACTGGCAGGTCACGACGGGACATCTGGGGATTGGAAAGACAAAGAATAGGATTACAGTGTAAGGTGTGTCAGCAGTAAAAAGTAGCACAACGACAAGCTAAGAAAGATGCTGACCAGGATGGCAGAAGCATTATGGGAAATGATTTGCGTAGATTGCCAAGATCAAGCCACTGGAACTCCATGCTAATTGTGTTTCTCGAAGTTTTAGTTAGTTCTATACATCTAAGCGCAGTAAGGAAAACAGAGAGATACTTTGGCAAATATCGAAACACCAAAAATTCTGATATCGGATAATGTGGGAGTATCCAAGCAATTTACAGCCCCATGTAGACAACAGGTGAGCCTTTAACAACAGTCGGTCAGAATAGCTACCACGTTTGCTACACCCATGGCCCGCCCAAAAGAAAAAAAAACCGAAGTCTCCAGCACAAAAAGTAACCAGCTTTGATATACCCAATTGGAGCAGACCTCGAGACGTCAACTGCAGAGCAAAGCAAACTGGGCTCGGGAAGAAAAAAAAAATATTTTTTTCTGACCCTCCATCCTAAAGAGCAATGTGCAGACAACGCGGAAAACAAACACAAAGAAAGCTCAGCAGAAGCACATTCGTACATACACCAACGAGAGGAAAATTTCTTGTTAAGCTTATGGGAGATTGTGAAGCCCACCATAATAAAGGCAACCTTAATATACTTTTAGTAAACAGATAATTCGTTAGTCACACAGAATTCATGCACGGGATAACACCTTGTATAGATTATTGCGATTTCACCACCTTAATTTATTATATTATTTTCTTCTTTCTACCTCGTGTCTTTAGGCCCTCTTTCATCCGCAGGTCAACTGGTAACAAGTTACAGTTTCAACAACCAACAATTCACTGAAATAGTACCTATTATAAATTTTAGGCTGGGAGTTAGACATCTTTTATTATTAAAATAATGGTATTTACTTTTTTAATATAATTTATTTATTAAGTATCATTTAATTGTAATTTAGCATGTACATTAGGGTTGGTCATATATGAAAAACAAAGCATTTTTCTCTTTAAATAACCTCCCTATTTGCCATATAATAATGGAGGATTTACATGTTTTGATAAAAACATTTTTAATTTATTGTATGTTTGCTACTATTTCTTAACTATTAAGCTGTAACTAAAATGCTGGTTTAAAATTGTCAATCAATAAATTATATTTTAGTTTTTTAAGTCTTTTAACAAACCAAACTGCCCTAATGTACAAGCATCTGATCTAGCCAACCCTTAAAAAGTTGCATTATTTGCATTCACTAATATTCAAGTTTCGTTGTAAATCACTTTGAATTCAGCATAGAGTACAACATTGTTTTTTTTAATAAGAGGGAAGCTGTAGTATTGCCAACATTATTACTGAGCTTTAAATTTACTCCATTCTCCATGCCCATATAAGTCTAAATGCTACTTAATCGGTCGATCATTCATGCAAACCGTTGCGTCCACGCTTGTGCGGCGAACAAAATGAATTTGCAGCGCTATTAGTTCCAATAGTTGTTTTTTCCTGCGAACGTTTCAAATTTGGCGTGTTTGAGGGTATTTGCAGTTTAGTGGTTGCAGGATCTGCAAAAGTAGAGTCAGAAAAGAAAAAAGAAAAATAAAAATATTGAATATTCAAATTACAAGCTTACCTTGCAGCCATCTAACTTGTGTAGCTGGTCCGTAACCCTTCTGGTTTCGAGCAGCAATTCGGAATATAATTGCTGGTTTGTTTGAGCAATCCACATGTGCGTTGGAGAGTGAAGCATTGGGAACCGTGCATTGATTAGCCGCACCGACATAAACACGTACAAAAGCCAATTGAGGAGTCGATAATGCCTTATCCTTGGCAGTGGGTTTTACTGCAAGGTATACTGAATATTCAATTATCTCTTTAGTTTTTTGAGCCGGTGGCGGTTCCCAAGTTAAGTGAGCCCCCTCTTTGACGTCCTTCGAAATTTTAATAGCCGATGGTGCACCGGGGAAGCCTGGTAAACAGGTTTTAAAGCTCGATATCTGTTGCAAATATATATAAAAGAAAGATTAAAACATATTTTTTATAAAAACGTTTTTACTTCATTTTTGTTTTTCACTTATGTAACTATACCCTTGCAGAGGGTATTCTAATATTAGTTTGCAACCCAGAAGAGAAGACGGTTTCGACCTTATTAAGAATAGTCTTGATCAGCATCAGGAGATTTCATCATCTATCTGTCAGTCCGTTTCTACGCAAACTAGTCTTTCCGTTTTAAAGCTATTTGGATTGAATGTTGCAAAAAGGATTCTTTCATATAGCTCCCATAGAAACAATTAGGAAACAATTGTTCCTTAACAAAAACACCTTATTCTCCGAGACAGTCATTTCTAACGATTTCAGTTTAATAACAAGAAAGGAAAGCTAACTTCGGGCGGAGCCGAAGTTAATATACCCTTGCAGAATACTCTGTAAATTTTATTCTCCAAAATTATTTATATGATGCATTCTTAATACTCATAAAAATCCCAACTTCCTAACTTTAAAAACACCAAAGTTATGTCATTTCCAATCGTTCAGTTATATGGCAGCTATAGGACATAGTCGGCCGATCCTTATGAAATTTGGTAGGTCGAATTGATTGGCCAAATATAAAACCCATAGAAAATCACAACTTTCTAACTTTACAAACACCAAAGTTATGGCAGCATAGGATATAGTCGGCCGATCCCGGCCGTTCCGACTTATATACTGATCAAGAATATATATACTTTATAGGGTCGGACCAAAATTATAATACCCTCTGCAAGGGTATAAAAATCGGAAAACTATAGCTGGCATGAAAAGACGGGAAAATAAATAGATAAATAACATACAAATCAAATAAACTTCGTTGTTTTTAAAAATGTACTAGACTATATCATCATGCAGCTTCCATAAAAGAATTGGAATAGAATTGGGAAATCACCATAGCTTCTTTGTTTTTCAACATATTTGCATATAGAATATAGAATAACTACATATATAGTACCTTTATAGGTTTTAGTTATAGATTTTAAATTTAACAAATCTATTTTATATAGTTGTCATAGATACAATACTAATAGGAAGCACATGCGACTTTTAAACTGAATGTCGTATTTATATACCATTCCAGAGGGTATTTTTATACCGTCTGTCCGTCTGTTTCAATACTGTTTGCGAGCTCAGTTTAAAAGCTAGTGATCTGATCAAGGTTGAAAATCGCCCCGATCGGACGTCTATACCCTATAGCTCCCATAGGAACAATAGGATATAACTTGCAAGAATGGAAGATATTTCGCGCAGTGTAAAAGCTATTGACATAAATCTTCCCAAATTTTATTTTTTTAGGCATACCTTGAACAGGGTAAAAGCGCGTGCCGATCGGACGTCTATATCCTATAGCTCCATGGGAACAATAGGGTGAAATCGGTTAAAATTTAATGATTTTTAGGATATTTCGCGCAGTATATAAGCTATTGACATGAATCTTTCCAAATCGCATTTTTTTACGCATATCTTGATCAGGGTAAAAGCGCTTGCCGATCGGACGTCTATATCTTATAGCTTCCGTGGAAAAATTGTTAAAGGCTGCGAAAATATCTATTTTTATATGACATTTTTGGAGTATAAAAACTATTGACATGAAACTATGAAAATCTAGTTTATTTATGTATACCTTATTCCTTTCGCTACTTTTTCAATTTTAGCAATTTCGGCAAAGTCTGCAAGGGTATTAAAACTTCGGCTTGCCGAAGTTAGCTTCCATCCCCGTTTCTTTATAATTTCTCAATTAATGGTTGACAAATGTGTTGTGTGTCTATAGATTTATAACAAATAAATATATCGCGGCCAAAAACTTGTTATAATTTAAGGGTATATAAACCTCGAGTTGCCGAAAATAGCTTTTTCTTTTGTTTTAACATTGTTTGTCATAAATGTTTCTCGCCAATAACGCTTATGTGTCGTTATTTGTTACAAACTTTGCTAACAAGTAATCTAATAAGATCAAAATAACAATGCTGAGAACTGCGTTTTTTTATACACACATCTGAAGCAAAATATCTGGACAAAATATAGTATAGTGATTTGCTTTAGGCAATACTCAAATGAATATTTTTTTAAAATATAAATGAGGGCAGAATAATTTCCTTCAAATTTTCTCGAAAGTAAAGCTAGATTTTTATATATAAACCAGAGCTCGCAAATAACTGTCGACCGTTTCTCATTGTCTGCAAATAAGTGTCTTCTCCTGACTCTTTACGAAAAGACTCGGAGAGCAACCGATTTATGGGTTCTTGAATGAGCTCGCTCGCGCTCAGAGCGAAACCGTTTATTTCTATTCAGTTTAGTTTTGGTTGTTCCAAGACCGTTTTGTCGTAATCAGCTAAGCAAAAGGTCTTTTGCGTTTTTTTCGTTAAGCTTCTGTTTTGCAGATATGTATATGGAATATGGAATCAAAATGGAACTTGTTAACAAAAATATTTGAAAATAAATTTAAAATTTTGTATTAAAGAAATTATATTATTTCTTTTTCACAACAACGAAAGTAAATGTGAAGACCGTTTGCATTGAGTTTTTCGGTCAATAGGTCTTTTGCTGACTCTCATTTTGCGACCGTTTATCATTCCGCTCTTTACGCACTGCTCATTGAAAGAGCGATATACAAAGATCTCAACGAAAAGCGCTCAACAGAAAACATAAATGAAGACAGCAAGTCTCTTGCTCAGAGCGAGAGCGAGAGAGTATGAACTTTTTCGGTTGTGCTCGCAACGAGAGCGCAAGAAGAAAAACGGTCAACAGTTGTTTGCGAGCTATGATATAAACAAATTCACAAACCTCTCCCCACTCCCCACGACCACACGTGTTGATGGCACTCAGACGAAATCGATATGCCGTTCCAGGATCCAAATTGATGCGTGGAAATTTGCTAAAATCTGGAAGATTATCCACATCAATACCGTTCAGTAAGGATTCACTAATACAATTCGAATCAATATAGCTGGTAACTGTGTGCGAGAGATCCTTAAATACGCCTACTGTGTGCCATTTTTGGTTTTCGTTTTGTGTCGTGTTTTGGACAGCGATCACCACCGAATTGGATTGAACCTAGAATAAATTAAGATAAATTTTGAAAAATAAGTTAAAAATTAATTTATTTTGTAGGGAATCTTATGCTTCACGTCCATACTTTTATTGTACAGTAGATCATTGTGCATGATTTTTTATCCCCTTGGAAAGGGTACTATAATTTTGGTCAAAAGTCTACAACGCAGTGAAGGAGACATCTCCGACCCTATAAAGTAGGAAACAAGGGTGTGAAAACTGAGAGGTTTGCGTAGAAACAGACTGACGGACAGACAGACAGACGGACATGCTTATATCAACTCAGGACGCGATCCTGATCAAGTATATATATACTTTATGGGGTCGGAGATGTCTCCTTCACTGAGTTGCACACTTTTGACCAAAATTATAATACCCTCTGCAAGGGTATAAAAAACGCTGGTCTATTTTGTTAAGGATTTAGTACAAATTTTTTTTGAAACAGAATTGCCGCATGGTTTGTAATAATACTCAACATTGTTGAGACGCTGTTACATCCTCAAAAAGTAACTGTGTCGTGCGCTCTGTAAAAGACCCATACAACCAAAAGTGATCTTAATCGTTGAACAACATTTTTTTTTAAAGTCGGGCCTCTCTAATAGAATCATATTTATCATATTACTTATGTCAAACCCTTATCTTTATCATAAAGCTAAATTCTTGGATACAAATTATTAAGGAAAAAATTAATACATTAATGAAGGTCATTGATTTCATATTGTCTAGTGACTAGTGACTTTAACATATATAATTTTGCAGTGGAAAAATAATTATAAAAAGGGAGATTAGGTTGAAGAGCAAAACTAGTTTTAATAAAGAATAGATACTAAGTCAATTTTTAGAAAACACGAAATTTTTGTTCTTTAAAAAGATGCGACATACAAAATAAACCAAGAGATATATTTATTAAATACGTTCTATCTATAATAATATTCTTTAATTTTTATAATATCAATTTAAAATAAAAACTATGAGTACTTAAAACTTTAAACGCTTTTCTATCGATACCACATTTTTGAGACAACCCAAAACATAACTCGAGAAAATCTTATTTCATTAAAATATCTTTATCTCTTAAATACCTTAAGACTGAAACCGTAAAAAAAATTCCCATAAATGCTACATACACCCTCCATTTTGTTAAGAACTATAAAAAAATGTATGTTAGATATGATGGGAACACATTTAAAAATTTCTTTAAAAAAAATTTTAAACACGAAAAAATGTTAATGGCTAATATTGGTGATACATACATTGGTTTGTGGATTTTCAGCAACGTTGCTAATTCTGGGTTGTGCTTCAATTCCTGGGCGTTCTATTAACTCTTTGATTGCTTGGCAAGAGTTCGCCAATGTTGTGGCATCTGCAGTTGCAGCTTGTAGCACAGCAGCTGAAGCGAGCGCCTCCAAGTGCGAACCATCGACTGCATTAAAAATAAATTAATATATATTTCTAAATAATTAACATGTTTTCTTATAGAAACAAACCGCTTTGATATTGGTGTGTGTTCTGGGACGATACTAATGATACCGATTCTTGTTCATGTATAAACTTGGAATCTTCTTTTTTTTCTATGTTTTCATTATAACTTTCTATAATAGATTTACCAGGGTCCTTGTTCATATCCGTACTTCCCTCTAACGCCTCAGCAGACTTAATTGTGGTCAATATAGTGGCAGCTTCAGTCTCGAATTTGGTCGGGTGATTGGGATCATCGGCAGCTGATGTTGACTTAACCTAAGAAAAATACAATTTCAAAAGAAAATAAAAGTTTACAATACAATTACAACTCACATCTATACAGATGGTTCCCAACTAAATGATAAACTGCGAGGGGGCATACACGCGGCACACGTGGGGCGACCCTTGAAAATCCTTCACACTACCTAACAACCAGTAGTGGCCATTAAGGAAGCCATACTACTTCAAAAAAGCCGAGAAAAACTAATTTGTATAAACACTCATGCATCTCTAAAATCTCTGTACTTTTTATCGTCCAATTCAAAAACTGTGATGGACTGTCGAAGATCTCTGGATGCCAGGCCATGGGAACATAAAGATAACTGTGCCGCAGACGAGTTACCCAGCATGGACACTACATTCCTTTTATCTCAAGATTGACATGCCGAAAGCTTACAAGTAAGCTTAAATGCAAAAATAATGAAAGAAAATCACTACTTGTAAAATAAACGCGAGCTTTCGCCGTAAAACCAAACAGGTCGCGGGGTATAACAAAGAACTATGGAAAAAAACTGTCAAAAACTCCGGCAGAGGTCGACACACTTTTATCAAGCAATAGCGGTCCCTTCGCACAAATGGAGTGTTTTTTTCATCCATGAATAATTAGGTGGATTACCCATGACAAAATGAATGGTATGGGTGCCGCTCCAATTAAATTTCAAACAGACATTTTGAAAGGGATGCCTGCTTTTGTCATATATATACTTTATAGAGTCGTCGATGTCTCCTTCACTGCGTTGCACACTTTTGACCAAAAATATACTACCCTCTGCAGGGGTATAAAAATGTATTTTGCTGTTTTCTATTTATCAAAATATTCCTTTGAGATAGAGTAATTATTTAGTTTGTGAAAATCAGACAACAATATCATACAGCTGCCATAGAAACGATTCCAAAATGCAGCTCAAAATCGACATACAAGTCGTTTTGTAAAAACTGCAAGGGTATATAAAATTCGGCTTACCAAAGTTTTCTTCCTTTTAAATAAAAGTTATAATAGTTACGGTACCTTGCCTATTGTTCCTGATCAAGAACATATACATTACAGAAACCGAAAATGTGTCAAAAATTTTTCCTTTGCAAAGGGAATTCAAGTTTCACATACATATGCACTTACCATTGTTTCAACATTAATATTTTCTTTTACGGACATCTTGGGGGTTTCCATTTTATCAACACTTTCGATTGCAATAGCTCCAGTTGTGCTGCTTACGCCGGAATCTTCAACAATCTGAACTGGCTGTTCCATATTATTGGTATTTTGACCTCTCAGTGATGTTGATGTATCACCTCCAGTAGATATTGACGCAGAAGCTGACGACGACGTGGCGTTGTTATCATTATTGTCTTCCTCCTCCGATCCGGGATGAGCTTCACTTTCGGAAAGTTTTAACAGATCTCCGGCTCCATCCAACTGCTCAATAATATCGTCCATGGGATCGGTATCTTTCATATCCGCAACTGAAACCAAAGTTTCCGATATGGTCTCCTTAAGTGGTTGCACTGATGGTATAATCTTTGCATGCACATTTTTAGTAGCCAAAGTCACGGCACGTGGGTTATTTCCGGCATTAAACACAAAGCTTTTTCTGGCATTTATAGCAGAAGTGGCAGAATTAGTCGAGCCTGTCCCCGGCAGCACCATTACTTTATTTGAGATGTTTCCAGAAGCCGCCATACTTGCATTGGTGCTCATGACCGTAACCGCCTTACCGCCAATATACAATGCCGTTTTTTGATGGATGGGAGTGGCGCCTGCTTTCTGTCCAATAGCTACTGAACTCGATGTTTGTACCGTTGATATATTTCTCAACATCTTTACTCCACTTTGGTTGGACATTACGGTTCTTTGCCCACTTATTGCTTGCAGTGGGCTAGCCGTTGTCGACGTTGAGCTAACTATACTTACAATATTTGACCCTGTTGCACTACCACCAGCACTAGCAGTAGTCATAACCGTACTAGCTGGAACTGTTCGCACACTGCCACCAGTGGTGACAATGATAATCTGCTGGTTTCCCAATTGCGCTCCCTGTTTATTTGTTATGACAAAGGCTGGTTTTCCTCCCATTACGTTTGGAGTTACCTTGCCCATCTGTAAAATGTTTGTATTCTTCATAATCAATTTGCCACTGGCCATAGAATGGGGCGATACAAGCTTCAGGACGTTTCCAGAAACGATAGGTTTCTGAAGTTGATTCCCGGGCAACGTTCCCTGTAAAACAAAAAGTTTTTATAATTTAAATCTATATAGCCTACAATTTTTTTTATGTATACGAAAATTTTTTTTAGGCAGAATCATTATTAAAATGCAAATAATTTCCGAATTCTATAAAAGTTCAGTAAAGAATATGCAGTTCAAAAAAAAATCATACCTTTTAAGCATTATTTTGAAGAAATTAAATTGAATTTGAATTCGCTAGCTCCAAATTAAATTAGTTTAAAACGAATAAGTCAATCGAATTCGAGTGAATTCAGGTGAACAATGGAAACAGGCCTGTATACTTAAGTTTGAGGTTAATACTTAACACTTAACATACTCACCTGAATTTGGGTAGTTCCCGACGCCAACTGTGGGCTTGTAATTGAAATACCATGGGGAGTAGTTCCTTTTGGTACATTAAAGTTTACCTTGGGCAGGGTTTGAACAGTCATGCCCCCACTGCTGGTCTTAACAAATTGGAGCTGAACATTTGGAGCCAGTGTAAGCGGCTTTTGAATAAAGTACTGCTTACCACCGATAGACGTAGTAGCCGGTACTGCAGACTGCGATTGCGCAGCTGCGCTTGGCAGACTGGTTTTTAATATATTGACTGCAGCGCTGCCACCGCTGCTGCTGCCGCTCGTTTGAGCAGAAGCTAGGCGTAATGTTTGCGAAGTATTAACGCTAGGCACAATTCGCAAAGCGCTACTTGAGGCTACAGAGCTGAGAACGACGTTCGCCGCCATCGTACTAGGTACTCGCATAGCCAAAGAGTCAGCTACACTGGTAGTGCCTGCCACCGTAGTTGTAGTGGATGGTCTTAGGGTGGTTGCAGATGGTCGAAACTTTTGCAATATGCTGCTAACGCTACTACTACTGGACGTGGTGTTGCTTCCTGCTACTACGGCAGTACTACTGATTACAGATATTTGAGGCTGCACTGAAATGGCCGACGTTGACGTGGTTAAGGCTGTCCCGGCCGCTGGGCTAGGTCTCTTTTGGACAATTGATGCTGGTGATACTGGCGGCGAAATCGATGGCAACAATTCCACAGATGGTTGAATGTGTGTTTCCGTTGGACTGCCAGGCCGTTGCATTATATTTTTTTCCAACTTTAAGACAGTAGAAGTTGCTTCAACTCCAAGAGTCAAGGCACTTTCTGAACAATTTTCTGGCACTGCCGATCCAGAAGAAGCCCCAGCTTTATTTGTTCCTTGCTGAGCAATATTTTGGATTAATGGTTTAAAACTTGGATTTGCTGGCTGCTCGATTTTTTGGACCTGTAAAACGTAGGCAGCTGCAAAAGTGGTCGCAGTCCATGAAAGTTCTAGGGCGTGAGTAGATGCACGAACTAGTGCAACTTTAACTGCATATAACGGCTTTGAGACCTCTAAATACCATAGATCTTTGCAACAAACCTGAAATAGAAAAGAATTCGAATTGATGAATATTAGTACTTTTGTTTTAATCTCCAGCTGTGTTTTCAACGGCCCAAACCACTTAACTTTCCAAATTTGATCTGCGTACACACGACTGTGAAAATTTTAGATCGCAAGCTTTGAAACTGAGCTCGCAAACGGTATTAAAACGGACGGACGGACGGACGGACAGACGGACATGGCTATATCGAGTCCCCTATTGATCCTGATCAAGAATATATATACTTTATGGTAGCAAAGTTTAACGCTGGAATGGCAGTCTCGAGTCACTGTGCACTACCAAATTAAAAAGTTTAAAAAGCATAATGACAGGTGTAATTGAAGAAGATCAGGTGCTGAGAAACAGAGCTCAGTAAAGACCGAGTCCTTGTACGGGAAATTAAAAAACAAAATGTTTCAGAAGGCTCAATTAGCTGCAGATCAACTTAATTTAACAGCCAAGACCCCAATAAGTAAGTAAGTAAGTAAGTAAACATAAATTTGTTGTAAGATTGCCAATCAATCAGTTATATGGCGGCTATAGGATATAGTCGGCCGATCCTGGCCGTTCCGACTTATATACTGCGTGCAAAGGAACGAAGGGTGTGTGCAAAGTTTCAACTCGACATCTTTAAAACTGAGCCACTAGTTCACGTAGAAACAGACAGATGTCTCCTTCACTGCGTTGCAAACATTTGACCAAAATTATAATACCGTCTGCAAGGGTATAAAAATCAGGCAGAGTTGGAGATGGTAAATTAAAAGGAAAAAGAAAAAAATTATACTTGGGAAAACCATTACCGGATTGGGCTTATATCGTCTTTGACTTTCATATCGTCTTTGACTTTTAAAGTGAACGGTTGTGTTTTTTTTCTGCGCTTCGAATTTTGCATTTTGTTTTCGTTTATTCCCATCGGTGGGTTTTATCAAATCAATTTTAATTCTCTTCCGGTTTATTAAAACATAAATTTAAACTCCGTTCGCTTCGCGAGTGCACTTTGTATTTAATACTAATAAATTGTTTTAGTTTTTCGTAATTCTTATCTGTGTTTTCATTTCTTATATCCCCGCCGTTTCTCTTTTGTGCATGCACTTTAACTTATTTACGCTCCCGCTCTCTTGCTCTCTTTGCTTTGAAAGTTTTAAGCGTGCAGTTTCTGCGCTCTTGCGGTACTTATAACTGCTCGCTTATAAATTTCAATTCGCTTTCTTGGTACAGTGGTAAATAAATAAAATGAATAATAAAAATGCAGCCTCGTAATCAGGGCTGACCAGTCTAATATGACTTGCTGGCTGTGTGAAAATATGGTGCACACCAAGTGCGCCGGTTTTACTGGCCGGACAAAGGGGCCCAATTTGCAGTTTTGTTGTGACGCTTGTGTCGAGGTTGCGAACGAGATGAAATCGTTCATGCGCCAAACTAAAGGCGGCCTGATGGGGCTGATTAGCTGTTTCGGAGTGGCTAGAGATAGTTTTTGCCGAGCTGATGATCTCCTCTCTGCGCTGGACTCGCAGTTTAATAGTCGTAAGCTATTAGAAGAGTCCCCTAAGCGCAAAAAGGCCGCTGGTGGTAAGGAGCAAAAGGGGACCACCCCGCAACCGAAATCAAAAGAACAGCAGAGCATTCCGGCGGATCAGCAGCTGATTTCAGCAAACCCTCAAATGTTGCTAAGATCAGCAGCTAAAAAAGATTCGGTATCCGAACAATCCGTTACAGAATGCATACAACCAGGGACTTCTAAGAATTCCGATTTGTCCGTAGTGGTTTCACAATTAGTGGATCCACCTATCTCTCAGAATGTAGCATCTCCACCACAAGGGACTACTGAGTCCGGACAACCGGCTCAAGTTGGTTTTGCAGAAACAATGTCTGCTCCACCAAAATCCCTTTTAGTGGTTCCACTAAAGAAACAAATTTTCGTTTCTCGGCTTTTCCCTGATCAAACATCTTCTGATGTATTGTCTTATATACAAGACGAAACTAAAGCCGATTGTAATAGTGTAAAGGTGGAAAAGTTTAAGTTTTCTTATGCTAGAGACATTTCATCTTTCAAGATAACTGTCCCTAACGAGCTTTTTGAAGCCATATGCTCGGGCGACTTTTGGCCGGATAATATGGTTGTAAAAGAGTTCGAGGCTAAGATAAAGAAGAAGGGGCCCGTGGGCCCAGTGTACCAATTTCAAAAAACTAACTTCTAACCTCCTTCTTTCCTATCAGAATGCAAGAGGTTTGCGTAGCAAACTCACTAAATTGTATTCTGATAGCCTTTCCTTTGCATCTAATATTATTGTGTTTACAGAAACCTGGTTAAAGCCGGAGATCTTTAGCTCCGAAGTTTTTCCAGGTAAGTACACAATATATAGGTATGACCGTCCCTCTAGACGGGGAGGTGGAGTCTTAATTGGAGTTGATTCAAACTTCCCGTCGGAGGAGTTATTTTTTGATGAATTCAATACCATTGAATTTATTTGTGTAAAGTTATCGCTTCCTGGTAACTTTATATACATAACTTGCTCATATATTCCGCCGTTGTCTGAACTTCCTGATTATTTAAATCACCTATCCGTTATTAAGTCCGTTGCAAATAAGCTTTCCGATAGGGATCAGTTGATAGTTCTAGGTGATTTTAATATACCTGGAGTTACTTGGTCCACTGAGGATGGATCGAATGTCTTACTACCTATAGCACAGCATGATTTTATTGATGGCCTGCTTGACATATCTCTATCTCAAGTAAAACATGTTCGAAATTCATTAGGTAGCCTACTTGATTTGTGTTTTGTATTAAATCCTGAAGGTGTGTTTCTGTCCAGAGTAGCACCACTCACGCAACCTGAAGATCCATATCACCCAACAATCGAACTTTCATTTGATACGGGTAGAGTTATAGAAGAAAAATCAGAAAAATCCAAACGAATGCATTGTTTTCGCAAGGCAGACTTTCTGAGGCTAAATAATTATTATGTCCGATGCAGTTCATGTTTTTTACACTGCAATAAACTCATTTTTTAATTCCTGTGTTCCGTGGTACTATCCGTCAACTTCCAATAAATAACCTTGGTTTAGCAAAGAGTTGACACACTTAAGAAATGTAAAGTCCAGACTTTTTAGGAAATATAAAAATACCGGTTCTCAATCTGTTTTTACTAGATATTTAAGTGCTCGGTCAAGATTTTAATGCTCAGTGATATAATAGTTACTTAAACCGTTGTAAGGTCCAGTTCTCTCAGGACCCGAAACAGTTTTATAATTTTGTTAACACCAAGCGTAAATCTTTTCCTTCCTCGCTGTCGTTCGAAAACATGACGGCAACCACAGATCAGGCAATAGCCGATTTATTTGCCCAATTTTTTCAAACGACTTACTCTACTTTAGATTATTCATCACAGCCTTATTCTTACACCATGTCCAAGTCAAACCTCATATTCTGTCCCACTTTAACAGAAAGCTCTCTTCTTTTGGATCTTCTTCGTATTAAGCCTGTTTATTCGCCAGGGCCCGATGGTATTCCTGGGTGCGTGCTTAGGTATTGCGCTAAGGCCCTGTGCAAACCTCTTCACAAGTTGTTTACCTTATCTCTAGAAACCTCCCAATTCCCAAATATTTGGAAGGAATCATTTGTTATTCCTCTTTTCAAAAAAGGTAACAAGTTAGAAGCCAGTAACTACAGAGGTATTTCTAAGTTGTCAGCTATTCCTAAGCTTTTTGAAAGAATTATTACTTCTCATTTGCAGCACCTTTGCAGATCAATCATTTCTCCGTGTCAACACGGATTTATAAAACGTAGATCCACAATCACAAACCTTCTAGAGCTCACTTCATTTGTGATAAAAGGCTTCAATAGTAGTTTTCAAGCAGACGTCATTTACACTGACTTTAGTAAAGCATTTGACTCTGTAAATCACTTACTTCTCATTCAAAAGGTTTTCCAGTTGATCTGCTTAAATGGATTTCAAGTTATCTAAATGGCAGGTCACAAAGGGTCCTTTTTAAAAATTCAATTTCTGAAATTCTCCGTGTTACCTCCGGTGTCCCACAAGGGAGCCATCTGGGTCCGTTACTTTTTACATTATTTATTAACGATCTTCCCTCAATTATAAGTCATTCTCGCGTACTTATGTACGCAGATGATGTTAAGTTGTGCCTGCAGTATAAGGACATTTCCTGCCATTTAAACTTTCAATCCGATCTAGATAATTTTCAAAACTGGTGCCGAGATAATTTACTAAATTTAAACGGTTCCAAGTGCAAGCTGATGACTTTTTATCGGGCCAATCCGATATACGCGACTTACACGTTAAGTGGCAGCTCTTTGGATAGAATAACTCTTGTAAACGACATGGCGTTCTCTTGGACCCTAAACAAAAAGTTTCTAATCACATTTCGTCCATGGTTAATAAAGCCAGAGGAGTGCTTGGATTTATTAAAAGGTGGTCAAAAGAATTCGATGATCCTTATTTGACTAAAACTTTATTTATTTCGCTAGTCCGTCCGATTCTGGAGTATGGGTCTCCCGTCTGGAGTCCACAATACGGAATACATATTGGTCGTATTGAATCTGTACAAAAAAACTTCCTTCTTTTTGCTTTACGGCGCCTAAACTGGGATGCAAATCTTATCTTACCTTCTTATTCTAGTAGACTTCTTTTGATTAATTTACCATCCCTAGCCAACCGTAGAACGATGCTTGGTACTATCTTTATTTATAACCTTATACATGGTGATATTGACTGCCCCGACTTGTTAAGTCGGCTAAACTTTTCTGTGCCAAGTAGATTAACTAGAAATTATTTTCCCCTAATTTTAAATCATTGTAGATCTAACTATGCCTTGCATGAGCCTTTCAGAGTATTATGTTCTGACTATAATAGACTTTTTCCTATAATCTCTAATCTTGACTCTCTGCCGCTCCTAAAACGATAAATACTTGCTTCATTGGCACAATATTGATCTAACTATTACTTTTTTTCCCCGGACCTTTACCTTTATTTTCCTATCTCGCGTCTATCTTATCGCGAATCGTTCCGAACGATACACGGCTGCGCCCCTCGGTCGAATGGGCGGGTAAGTGGGCCGTGGGACTCCGCGCAAAAAAAAAAAAAAAAAAAAAAAATAACCCGGAAATGTAAATGTTAACACTCTTCAATTAAAATATATACACGTAAAAAAGCATCATATAGACCATTTAAATACAGAAGAAGCAGACAGTTTGAAAAAGCTTTGTGCAGTTTTCAAACATATTCCTTGAAAAGAGAAATAGTTGAAGTTTTCAACGCGCTAACGCATTCGATTCCAACAACTGCTAACTACAACATATTTCCTTTATTAGGTTAGGTCTAAAAATAGTAAAATACCAATAAGCTCGGGCTACTCAATCAAACGGATTAAAGGCCGATCACTAACTATCCGGCCCGAACAAATAAACTCTTCAGTCAGAGCGATCGCAAACACTTAAGATACGTTCACCGTTAATTTCGCTTTGCTCAAGCAAACTTTTGTATTTAAATCGCGAGTTTGGCTGCAGGTCTCTTATATTCACTTATGTATAAAACCCAATGCAAGAGTATAGGAAAGCAAATTATGCCGATTTAGCATGTTGTTTCAGAAAAATATACCAAAATGTCTTAATGGTCTTATCTCGGCTGTTCCGACTTACATACCTTCTGCAGTAAGGGATTATACTAGACATATTCTATTTTTAGTTCGCTTATTTATTCGCGTATTTTATCATTTCGCTTTATAATAATTCATTTTGTAGAAAATATCTATTCGAAAAAGGTAAAAAATATGTTCAGAAACAGAATGTCTCACCCTAACCTGGTTGTTCCATGCTTTCCGGTAACCATCTCGCCCTGACCACACGTAAAGACGACTTTGAATACCAACTGCACAGTGGCCAGCACGAGCCCGAGGTACATTCTCCTCTACTGTGTCTAATGTGACATTGTCCCAGGTCATAGTTTCTGAAAAGACAATATTAAAATTTATTAATTTTAACCCGGATTTATTACATTTTATCTGAATCAACAACCAAAGCGATAAATTTATCTCAGGAAACAATGTTACCTTCTAAACTATAAAGGTATTTTTGAAGCGTGCCGATAAGATATAGGAACAATTTTTTATTTGTTTACTTATGTGTACATTTGGTTATATTCCTATTTTTTTTTAATGCATTCGCTGATCAATTTCTAATATTTTTTTGATTAGTCAAATACTTTCCTAATCAATGTGGAAAGAACTATTTGCAAAACAACTCAAAAATCACTTTTATAAAAGCGTTTATAGTTTTATTTTTAGGTTCAGTATTCGGATTTAAAATGTCTACGGCTGTTTAGATTTCTAGATATGTTAGATGGCTAACTTGGAGGATTTGCGTACTATTAAAAGTTAGCGAAGGACACGATTGCATGATGTGTGTAGGAAAAATTGAGAGGGGAGAAAGAGGAAGACATTTTTATTTCTTGTTACTTTTATTTTTTATTTCGTGTTCCGTTTAACCAATATCGGTAATAAATACGTAATTTTTCAACTTTCCCGTACACCCTTTAGAGTTTGTTCGATAATACCAAATTAGAAAAACTGGGCTTTAAAACACAATAGGATTGTAAAAAGAGGTACTCCGCAGAACATTGCAATCCTTCTTTTGATCATACAGTCACAAAATGGCCGAAAGGAGGGTTTAGAAGGATAAGGATTATCTTGCAATCCTCCGCGAAGCTAAAGCCTCTTTTTGACTGATATAGAAACAAGAATTCAAATTTGTTTACTAGTTACAAACCCTAAAATAAATCTAGTGGCTTAACTCTTCCTGTATCAACACCCGCTGCAACAATTTCGGCCAAACAAAACAAAAATGTCAGTCACATGCTACTTAAACAAAATTCTAGGACTGAATCTTTTCGATCAATTTAAACGCAAAATTACTACTCTCTTTATGTGTGGCTTACTATTTACCTCTTTCGCTTTCCGAATATTATTAATATAACAGAAAGTTCCGGATATTTTCGTAGGGTTGGAGAGGGTATGGTGTTGTAGTTTCAAGCCAAAGTTTGCATTGCAGTGAAAAAGACATTTCGAACTCTATAAAGTGTCATACCAATGGTACCCAGTTTTATAACTATCAAAAACTTTAAAAGTGTATATAAACTGAACTGTACAGGTTATCAAAAGCATTTAATTAAATAATACTTAAATGATTCACATTATATTTTTTTTATTCTGGTTATTTTAAAGAATTTTATAAATGTTTTTTTTTAAGAATTAATAACAAAATATCTTAAAAACGAGGACGAAAGCTAACTTCGGCAAGCCGAAGTTTTAATAAACTTGCAGACTTTGCCGAAATTGCTAAAACTGAAAAAGTAGCGAAAGGAATAAGGTATTCATAAATAAACTAGATTTGCATCGTTTGATTTAAATTGCTTTTATACTGCAAAAATGTCATATAAAAATAGAAAAAAGGGGATACTTTCGCAGCCTTTAACAATTTTTCCTACGGAAGCTATAAGATATAGACGTCCAAACGGCAAGCGCTTTTACCCTAATCAAGGTATGCATAAAAAAATACGATTTGGAAAGATTCATGTCAATAGCTTATATACTGCGCGAAATATCCTAAAAATCATTAAATTTTAACCGATTTCACCCTATTGTTCCTATGGGAGCTATAGGATATAGACGTCCGATTGTCACGCGCTTTTACCCTTATAAAGGAATGCATAAAAAATACGATTTGGAAAGATTCATGTTTTGGTGCTTCATGCGACATATGTAGAGACATTTGTACTCATTAAGAATCTATCATTGTTTAATTTTTCAGATAACTACAAGCATAGATATCATGGAGACGAGGACACGGCCTCTTTTTTCCCCCCTTTTTTATAAGAATGAATAACTTAATGAAATCTAATTTTTTTTTTATACCCTTGCAGAGGGTATTATAATTTCAGTCAAAAGTTTGCAACGCAGTGAAGGAGACATTTCCGACCCTATAAAGTATATATATTCTTGATCAGCATCACCAGGAGAGTCGATCTAGCCATGTCCGTCTGTCCGTCTGTCCGTCCGTCCGTCCGTTTCTACGCAAACTAGTCCCTCAGTTTTAAAGCTATCTGCTTGAAACTTTCCCAAAAGTTGTCTTTCTATTGCAGGTAGTATATAAGTCGGAACGAGCCGGATCGGGCGACTATATCATATAGCTGCCATATAACTGAACGATCGGAAAAGCCATAACTTTGGTGTTTTTAAAGTTAGGAAGTTGAGATTTTCTATGGGTTTTATTTTTTTTTTAAATTGCTTTTATACTGCAAAAATGTCATATAAAAATAGAAAAAAGGGGATACTTTCGCAGCCTTTAACAATTTTTCCTACGGAAGCTATAAGATATAGACGTCCAAACGGCAAGCGCTTTTACCCTAATCAAGGTATGCATAAAAAAATACGATTTGGAAAGATTCATGTCAATAGCTTATATACTGCGCGAAATATCCTAAAAATCATTAAATTTTAACCGATTTCACCCTATTGTTCCTATGGGAGCTATAGGATATAGACGTCCGATTGTCACGCGCTTTTACCCTTATAAAGGAATGCATAAAAAATACGATTTGGAAAGATTCATGTTTTGGTGCTTCATGCGACATATGTAGCGACATTTGTACTCATTAAGAATCTATCATTGTTTAATTTTTCAGATAACTACAAGCATAGATATCATGGCGACGCGGACACGGCCTCTTTTTTCCCCCCCTTTTTTATAAGAATGAATAACTTAATGAAATCTAATTTTTTTTTTATACCCTTGCAGAGGGTATTATAATTTCAGTCAAAAGTTTGCAACGCAGTGAAGGAGACATTTCCGACCCTATAAAGTATATATATTCTTGATCAGCATCACCAGGAGAGTCGATCTAGCCATGTCCGTCTGTCCGTCTGTCCGTCCGTTTCTACGCAAACTAGTCCCTCAGTTTTAAAGCTATCTGCTTGAAACTTTCCCAAAAGTTGTCTTTCTATTGCAGGTAGTATATAAGTCGGAACGAGCCGGATCGGGCGACTATATCATATAGCTGCCATATAACTGAACGATCGGAAAAGCCATAACTTTGGTGTTTTTAAAGTTAGGAAGTTGAGATTTTCTATGGGTTTTATTTTTGGCTAATCAATCCGACCTACCGAATTTCGTAAGGATCGGACGACTATATCCTATAGCCGCCATATAACTGATTGATCGGAAATGCCATAACTTTGGTGTTTGTAAAGTTAGGAAGTTGGGACTTTTTATGAGTATTAAGAATGCATCATATGAATAATTTTGGAGAATATAATTTATGGAATATTCTGCAAGGGTATATCAACTTCGGCTCCGCCCGAAGTTAGCTTTCCTTTCTTGTTTTTATTTATTTTATGTACTCCTTTAAGTTTAATAAACAAATGATAAAAAAACGGATAGTAAAAATATCTATTGCTTTTTTTTTATTAATTGTTAAAAAAAGGTCGAAATTCGAGCCTCTAGACTAGAAGACCCCCTTAAAGCAGATAGCTAGTTTGCGTAGAAACGGGCGGACGGACAGGGCTAGATAGACTCTCCTTCACTGCGTTGCAAACGTTTGACTGAAATTATAATACTCTCTGCAAGGGTATAAAAAGAACAGGAAGGCAAACTTCGGGAAGCCGTAGTTTACATACCCTTGCAGCTTTTATAACAAATTATTCTATTTTTCAATTTTTATGCACATGTATTTAAAATCAATGAAACTATGTCAAATCGTTCCAATGCCAGCTATAAGACTTAATATACAAGGTGTGTTCCAAAGAAAACAGGACTTTTTGAATCTAGCGCCCTCTGGTGACGCCATTTATATGTCGACTGGTGCGTTAGAATCTTTTATCGACAATTCATGACATTTCATCGATTGGAAGTGAAGTTATTGCGTTTTAAGTGCCAGTGTTATCGCAAATGTGCTTTGAACAAAGAGCCAACATTAAATTTTGTTTTAAAATTGGTACAACTTTTATCGAAACGTTTTGATTGTTGAAACAAGTTTATGGCGATGATTGCCTATCCCGTAGCAGAGTGCACGAGTGGTTTCACGGTTTTCAAAGGGGTCGTGAGGACCTATTTGGCGATCAACATGTGGCCCAATCAAAATTCGTGATCACCCAAAATTCCATCGAAACTGCATTCATCAGCATTGAAATTCATGGAAATGGAATTGAACATCTCTAAAACATCGATTTATCGCATTTTGACCAATCATTTGTGCTTACGAAAGGTGTGTGCACGGTTTGTTCCGCACAAATTGACTGACGAATGAATCCAAGGGTATTGTCCACAAAGAATTTGTTCCACCCGTTCAAAACGTTAATTCGGTATTCTACCTTGGAGTTTTGAAGCGTTTGGTGCGCCGTATTCAACGAGTTAGGCCCGAATATTGCAAAGATGAAATAAATTGATTTGCCAAAAAAACCATTTGTTGTTTTTTTTAAAGTCCTGTTTACTTTGGAACACATCTTCTATACTACAGTGGTCAAAAAAATAATAGAAACGACATTTTATTTGGCACTTCAAACCTAATTGCTAAATACGCAAAAAAGCTCTAAGCTTACAACCAACTTAACTTGTAATACTGATAACGTTACTTTAAGGTAAATTTAGCACAAAATTACAAATTTGGTTAAAATCTGATTTCAACTTCGACTTTTAAGTAAAGAATGGGTCGCGGGGTGCACTGCACAGCTAAAGAAAGATTTATTTTTTAAAGACTTAAAGATGAAGAAAAAACAATGAACGTATATCAAATAATGAATTGCTCAAAAAAAAAGTGTTCTCTGTAATTCATTTCACAGAGACAAAGGAGAACCGAGGTAGAATGAGAGCTACAACCCAAAAGTTTGACGAGTTGTTGATTCGGACATCAAAAAAGGATTTCTTACATAGAAGAAATTCAAAACTATGTTGCAGGCATCAGTTTCTACTCGAACAATAGAAAACAGGCTGATAAAAAGAGAATTAAAAGCACATTCAGCTAAAAAAGATCCACTGCTAAGCAAAAAAAAATATTGAAAAGGGTTTTGGCAAAGCGACACCTAGAACGCCAATATTGGAATAATGTCCAGTGGTCTGATGAAACTAAAATAAACATGTTCGAAATAATGGGAAAGCAAGAAAGGAGAGCTAACTTTGGGCGGAGCCGAAGTTGTTGATATACCCTTGCGGAATATTGTGTAAATTATATTCTCCAAAATTATTCATATGATGCATTCTTAATACTCATAAAAACTCCCAACTTCCTAACTTTAAAAACACCAAAGTTATGGCATTTTTAATCGTTCAGTTATATGGCAGCTATAGGATATAGTCGGCCGATCCTTATGAAATTTGTAGGTCGGATTGATTCGCCAAATATAAAACCCATAGAAAATCCCAACTTCCTAACTTAACAAACACCAAAGTTATGGAATTTCCGATCAATCAGTTATATGGCGGCTATAGGATATAGTCGGCCGATCCTGGCCGTTCCGACTTATATACTGCGTGCAAAGGAACGAAGGGTGAGTGCAAAGTTTCAATTCAATATCTTTAAAACTGAGAGACTAATTCGCGTAGAAACAGACAGACAGGCACAACTTTTACCGTCAATTTTTTGATTTGCATTTATTTTTGAATGCAAAACATTTGAATATTGGTTAAAATTTTTGATAGATCCGAGTTAAATTTCCGAAGTTATGGCAGTTGAACTTCGGTAAGTTATTTCGTTTTGTATTCGATTTTTGGGTGTCCCAAATTTTAATACGCTTTTTAGGCGAAATTCGAGGTTTTTGACTTTCAATTCCCTTTAAAAATCGGAAAAAAAATTTAAAAGTAATAACCCGACAGCGTTACTGTGGAAATTTTTCCTATAAGTAATGAAATTTGATTTTTTAAATTCAGATGATTCTGTGATTAGTTACGATGTACACCGCAAACCACCTTTTTTTCGAGGTGCCGCCGGAGATTGATTCACTCACTCACTTTTCAATATTTTTGGATGCAATTTTGTGCACATAATGTTAAATGTTATATTATTATTAAAATTTTACTGAGACAATTCATATTGCCAATACAAATTTTTAAAAACTGCCCGATTTTGACCTTAACTTGCAGTGGATACATACATTTTTAAGAGAAAATGATGATATACTAATTCTAACTTCTGACAAAGGAAACCACACAGTTGTTATGGATAGGATACTTACAATCAAAAAAATTATGTTCGGAATAAGGACACATATCGGATCTTACGAAAGGAGACTTCAAACTAAAAACAATAAATTAGTGGAAAATCTTTTTACAAGTGGACTTATTTTACGGACCGAAAGGAGTAAGTTAGTTACAACAACATTACCACCATGGATATAAGGACTACCACAAATCCACAAAGAAGGGACTTCCTTAAGGCTTATGGGTTTATACATTAAAAAACATCATGATGGACTATCTACAACATCAAATACTCAGTGGAATTTCAAGAAAAACAAGAAAGGAAAGCTAACTTCGGGCGGAGCCGAAGTTGATATACCCTTGCAGAATACTCTATAATTATATTCTCCAAAATTATTCCTATGATGCATTCTTAATACTCATAAAAAATCCCAACTTCCTAACTTTAAAAACACCAAAGTTATGGCATTTCCAATCGTTCAGTTATATGGCAGCTATAGGATATAGTCGGCCGATCCTTATGAAATTTGGTAGGTCGGATTGATTGGCCAAATATAACCCCTGTAGAAAATCCCAACTTTCTAACTTTACAAACACCAAAGTTATGGCATTTCCGATAAATCAGTTATATGGCAGCTATAGGATATAGTCGGCCGATCCTAATGAAATTGGGTGGGTCGGATTGATTGGCCAAATATAAAACCCATAGAAAATCCCAACTTTCTAACTTTACAAACACCAAAGTTATTGCATTTCCGATCAATCAGTTATATGGCAGCTATAGGATATAGTCGGCCGATCCTTATGAAATTCGGTAGGTCAGATTGATTGGCCAAAAATAAAACCTATAGAAAATCTCAACTTCCTAACTTTACAAACACCAAAGTTATGGCATTTCCGATCGTTCAGTTATATGACAGCTATAGGATATAGTCGCCCGATCCCGGCCGTTCCGACTTATATACTGCGTGCAAAGGAAAGAAGGGTGTGTGCAAAGTTCCAATTCGATATCTTTAAAACTGAGAGACTAGTTCGCGTAGAAACAGACAGACGGACAGACAGACGGACAGACGGACATGGCTATATCAACTCAGGAGGTGATCCTGATCAAGAATATATATACTTTATAGGGTCGGAGATGCCTCCTTCACTGCGTTGCACACTTTTGACCAAAATTATAATACCCTCTGCAAGGGTATAAAAATCGACTTTTTTCTTTGAGTTGCCGCCATTTCATGAAAAAAAAAAATTTCGTACTCATTAAGAATCTATCATTGTTTAATTTTTCAGATAACTACAAGCATAGATATCATGGCGACGCGGACACGGCCTCTTTTTCCCCCCCTTTTTTATAAGAATGAATAACTTAATGAAAACTAATTTTTTTTTTTTAATTTATTTTATGTACTCCTTTAAGTTTAATAAACAAATGATAAAAAAAAACGGATAGTAAAAATATCTATTGCTTTTTTTTTTATTAATTGTTAAAAAAACATTTTATTTTACGGACCGAAAGGAATAAGTTAGTTACAACAACAACATTACCACCATGCATATAAGGACTACCACAAATCCACAAAGAAGGGACTTCCTTAAGGCTTATGGGTTTATACATTAAAAAACATCATGATGGACTATCTACAACATCAAATACTCAGTGGAATTTCAAGAAAAAATTAACAATACGTACATCATTGATGATACAATATTAATATCGTTTGATGTAGTCATAAATCTTGCAACACAGTTAAAGAAAAATAAAGAACATTCAGTAGAACAGATATTTTAAATTCAAGGGCGATATACACATAACTAAAATTAATGCCAATGGGAACATAGTAAAGGAAGAGCTATTAGACAATACTTTGAAAAAAATAGGACAGAAACCAAAACATTTGACGAAGTAAGTGGATGATTTATTCGCAATAGTTAAAGAAGACGAAATACAACATACACTTGACGCTTTAAACTCTTTTAATAAAAAATACAAATTCACATTGGAAAACGAAGACGATAGAAGGCTGGCCTATTTGGACTCATTGGTTCATAAGCATGGAAACATTTTAAAATTAATTTTGCGAAATGAACAAAACTAATCAAAACGATCAATTAGGATTTGCTAGGGTCAGAAGTCCGGCCGTTTAAAAAAACATGGTTTATAGAAAAACGCACTTAAAGTTTTAATAGTTAATATAATCGTTGTATTATAACAAGCAAGGAAGCAAAATTCGGCAAGCAAAATCCTTACGAATATTACAAAAATAAAAGATTCTTTAAAACGAATATTTATCGATTTTTACGGCAAACAACAAATAAGAAATACATTTTTCGTTTCGTTTATATGGCAGCTATTTGACATTTTTATAAGTCTGCAAAAATTAATATCGACTATATCTCGGACTCTATCCTTGCATATTTAAAATTGGCGTTATAAGGTTGCTCATTTGTTATTATCTGGCCCTTTCCTATACTAGCTGAAATAAAAATAATGTTTCACCCAGATAGTTTTAAAACCAAGAGACTAGTTTGCAAAGCGGACAGATCAACTCTCCCGCTGATGCTGATTAAGAATAAATAGACTTTATAGGCTGTGCAATTTCTCCTTCAGTTCGTTTTTTTATATAAACTTTATCGTAAAAAAAAGTTTTGAAGGTTGCATATTTACAACACATTTTGTTTGTCTTTTGCTATATTATCGATTCTTATAATTAATTAACTTAAAATGTACGTACCTAAGTCAAGAACTGCTAGAGTATTTGTACATTTCCATTCCCGTTCTGTCGTCGACTTGGAATCATTAATCACCAATGGAACCCAGCCACCGAACACATACATTTTGTTCGCAATCATTGTGGAACTGTGTAACGAACGTGGTAAAGGCGCTGGCCCTAGAGTTCTCGGCTTGGACCATGTCATTGAATCTGAGAATATTAATACACAAATATAGAAAATACGGAAAGTAGACGCGTATACTACAGCTACCTGTATCTAACAACCACAAATCTCCCAGCCGACATCCACTCATTCCTCCATAAATTAAGAGGTTTAAATTACCAGTAACTTTACTTGCAAACGAAATGCCTGTGTGAGACTCTCTTGGTGGAGGACTGTCGCCATACGTTTTAGGTACTATCCACTTTCCATTATGACTGTGAACTCCTCGAGTATCCAGTATGTACAAGTCGTTTAAATATCTACAATAAAGAATTTAAAATCATAAAAGTGCATTTCTTCAGAAAATAGACAAGATATGACTTACTTTGGAATATTGTTTTTTGGATCGTCCGATTCATTTGCTAGTCCGCCAAACAGAAATATTTTTTCACCAACCATTGTAAAGCTGTGCCCCAAGCGAGGACAGGGCGGCAACCCACTGTCCGGTGATTCTGGATACATTTTTCTCCACTCCCATTTTGTGGCCTGTAGCTCATAGAGCTCATTAGAATATTTTCCGTATTCGATCATTCCCCCAAAGACAAACATTCGAGTTCCTTCTACAACAAATCCATAAGCAGCGCAACCGTTCGGCACATCCCCCTTGAGCACGGGCACGTACCATTGATTTGTAACTACAATAAAATAAAACAGAAAATAGCAATACTTTTAAATTTTCAACGGTAATACGCTTACAAAAATATTATATATATAAATATAAAGATTGGCTTGTTTACAATTAATAACACATTTTTAATTATATTTATATTGAACGTTAGAAAACAACAAAGGTTTGCCTATTTTTCTATTGTCTTTTATCATGATCATGCTACCTTGTAATCGGAAATGTTCCATCCACTACGGTGTAAACTTCTGATTTAAATTATAATATTCTCTACTATGATTTAAAAGGCTAGGGACAACAAATTCTTCCTCAATAACAAGTGCTATATGTAAAAAAAAATTACATTTTTATTAAAATAATGACGAAGTTAAGTTTAAGTTAATGCCTTGTTTAAGTACGATTTGACCGGTTTACTTGACAGAATTTGTACAGCTGCAAAAATATATAAAACCACTAAGTTAAATTAATTTAAGGTATGGGTTATTTGTGCTTAGAATAATGTAAACGAATTCTGAAGAATTCGCCGTCTAATTTATTTTCGATGAATTCATTTAAGGCTTCCCATATCAAAACGTTAGCCACAACAAAAATAACGGTTTTTTCCTGATGGTGTGAAGAATTCGCGATTTAATTTTTTAATGAACTTATGATAGGCTTTACTGCAATTTTACAATAGCAATTTAATTCTTCATTGCGGGCATTTGGCTATTAGGAGAGCCATTCGATTTGTTACTTGGTAATTGTAGATAGATTAAATAATTTTGAAGAATACAAGTTCAAGTGAAAATGAGAGTTTGGAGGTAAATATTTACATACAGCGGTGTTCGCCGAAAGAAGAAGAAAGAAGAAGAACAACTCTAAAAGGATTCTTTTGCATATTCCTTTTTGTTAGTTTGTCTTTTGCATATTGTTTTTGTAAAATAAAAATTAGAGATAAGAAACAAGCGAAAGTTCTTTTAGATTTACTGTATTTTTTTGTTATCTTGATATTTTTCACACGTGCAAATCGTTTTGGCTATTCACCGAAATAGCAGTTTTTGCTTTTGTTTTGCAAATTTTATGAAAAGTGAGTTTAATTAAGTTCGTTATTATAGTTAATACAACTATACACATTTACTGTGCAAAAAATTTGATTTTAGTGGGTAGAGGACCTCACTGCACCAAGCGAGAAAAAAAATGAAATGTTCTGCCAAGATGGTTTCTAATGCCATAAAATATGAACCGAACCATGAAAAACAAGGTGGGATTCGCACAAACCACAATTGTAGAAAACCGACACATAGTACGCTTCAGCGAAGCTAATCCTTTTGCACCCTCTAGGGATATAAAAGCGGTGATTAGCTTGGTTATCAGTGATGTGGCTATTCGCCGGCGACTTCTTGAGAAAAAATTGAATGCGCGAAGTCCACGGAAGCTGCCATTACTTGGTATAAGTCATATAAAAGCCAGGTTGGAGTTCGCCCAAAGACTTTTGAACTGACCACTATTCAAATGGCGTAATATCCTTTAGACAGATAAGTCCAAACTGGTTTTATTTGGCGGGAAAGGATCAAGACAATATGACTTATGGGGGACACCAAGCACTACGTATCACAGAAATCCCCGACTTCTACGCCGTAGCTTTTGCAATTTGTGCTGGAGGCATGGGGCCAGATTCCCCTCAAGCATTGTCAAGATTTGGTGGATACCATGCCACTTAGGTGTGAGACTGTGATAGCTAATAAAGACTATTCAACAAAAAACAAGATCACAGACGAATTGTATTTGAATAGAATATTTATATGATATTTTAAAATATATTACATTTATTTAATTGCTTACTTTGACTGCTATTTCAATGAACTGGATAATATATATATATAAAGACCCCGAGATGCACAATTTTGTTCACCGCAAACCACTTTTTGTTTTTTTATTTTAAGATTCTTAAAATTACAATATAAAAAATGTATAAAAAACAAATGGCTCAACATGCCAATACTAAAAAATAAGATCACAAAAGTGCTGTTTTTTTTGGCCTTTAAAACCTTTGTTCGATCAGTGGATTAAGTCATATTGAAAATGTGTAAAAATATTAATAGAACTGGCTTTTGACTTTTTCTGATAGATTGCATGAGACGTGTCAGTCTAACCTAACGTCAAAGGAGCAACTTTCAAAACAATTTCTTCAAATATATTTCTCCGATCGAAATTTGTGAAAAATGGTTTGGACATATTGAACTATTTAAGAATAAAAGTAACAAAATCAATTGCCTTTTTTAAAGATTTTATAACCTAATATTTATTTTTATAAAACTCAGGACAAGTAAGAGCCCCTTGAATCCTTTTAAATAATCTTTTTGAATAGTTGAGTTTATATTACTTATCGAGATGTAAAAGGTACGGTGTTTACCTACCTTCTTCGAAGTTAGTGTTACAATATAAATGCTTGAAATTGATATCGTTTTGAATTAAATTACCTGTGTTATAGACGTGCAATTCGTCAACAATTCCTTCATTTCCGCCGCCAAAAACGACCATAAGCTCTTTGATATTTATAGCGCGGTGCCCATGCCTAGGACGCGGCTGTGGTCCTGTTGGGTTAAGAACCCGCTTCCAACGAAATCCGGACAAGTTGTTGGCCGCGTGGCGGTCAACATTGTCCTCTATGTCCATGAAATTTCTATTGACACAGTCGGGTTGGAGGATCTGCGCTGCATTTAGATCATCAGATGCAGATACTTGATCTCCCGAAGAAAAGGTAGAACCCACGATTTCTGAACATTCCATATTATAATCAGAAAATTAATAGTACCGGCAATAATGATATTTGTTTTATTGTAGCAAGGAGTTAAGAATGCATTATTATCATGTAACCAAGTTCACCTGCAAACTAGAAATTGAAATAAATTAGAAACACCTAAAATTGTTTAGCAATCAATTCTCTCTACCAAAATCCTGATCGGTCGTATTAACAATCGGCAAGGGTTTTAATTTTGCTCAAAAGAACTCGGAAAACTGTAGGTAAGTTTTCCGTTAGGTTGTTAAAAAAAATATTATACATGCAAGCTTATACATTTTTTAAATTATCGTCGGTACAAAATTTTTATTGCCATTTGGAAGGGTGTAAAAATACCATATAGTTGTGTATACTACTGTGCGGTTCCTTTAAAATGCAAAATACCAAATTACTTGAAATACTCTATACACTCAACAATTTACTTTCACCTGGCAATGCTGGAAATGGACGCTTCATTATAGTGCATTAGATCTCATATCAGCAAACAAATAGCAAATTTCCCAAATTAAAGATGACGGTTTTATAATCAAGTATATTTTTATGCTTTACCAAAAGTTTGTCAATAACTGTTTGTCTACAAAGTGATGTAAAGAATTTACAAAATCAAAAGCCGTACAGAACACCACAACGCAGGCACGTACTAATTAGAGGTGGAAGTACCACATGACGTCTATCGATACATCGATTATCGAAGAAACATCGAAATGTGATTCTAACAGCCTAGTTACACTTACGCGAGTTTTCGAACGTTATAAGAGATAACGCAATCACGCCAAACTGTCGGAAAAATCTTTCTTTGTTTTTCTTTGCAAACGAAAACTAACAAAATCGGAAAAAAAAACATGAGTAAAGATTACAAAAATAACTCGGTATTATTGTTACTAGCAAGTTCAGCCTACGTTTATTTCCACATCTTCCCGCCTTCAATTGCCACTTGTTCGTTTTTGTTGGTTGTGAGAGATGAACGTTACGCACGAAAATCGAAGATAAATCGAAAATAATAAAGATATTTGAGACATACTAATCTAAAAAGCACTTTTTCCCATTGTTATGTTATTGCCGCCGATCCAACATTCACCATCCATAAACGGCAATAAAGAGTGTTGTAAGCAAAAGTTCAGATTGGGTTTTATTTTTAAGCCACTCTGATACGATTTTTGTTGTATAACCATCACCGGAATCAAACAAATTTAAAAAGAAATGACATAACCATACAAAATAGTACAAAAAATTAGTTAGGCCGAAAAAAATAATTTGAAACACTTCGACTTCGTTCTTGTGTTTCGGGAGGAACCACAAAAACCAATAACACAGAACAGCTGGGATGGTGAGAGATTATAGATTTTAATTTTGTCATTTAAGCCTAGTACTCAGATCGACGAAGCCCGTACGCCAGTCATGATAGAGAGCGAGAGGCAAACAGCTGGCGTTCACTTTTCGTCAACGTTTTTTTTTCACCTCGATCCTCAGATCGACGAAAAAATACCAGAAAATTGCATAGCGTTGCCAGTCTGCGGAAATGAACATTGGGTGAACCCTAGCGAAAAGATTAAAAAATTTAATCTTTTGGCGTGCGCTTCTCACTGAACATTATAAGAAAGGGAAAAACTCTAAAAACGATTACAGAAGTATACATGTGAGGACAAAATAACATTAATACTATCTGGGGTTCCTCTTGTCAGAGCAAAATGTTTTTTAGGTCAAGAATGTACGAAAAAACACAATAAAAGTGCAGCTATGAACTTTAAATTAGCAAATAATTATCAGTAAAATAAAAAAAAAACAACTGTTAAATTTAAATTGTATTTTTTAATTTCTTTGTACAGCGGCAGACTTGTCTTGCCAAGGTATTTGCTAATATCTTTTAAAGGCTCTTTCCCGTAAATACGATATTTGAATTTTAACTGCTTGTCAACAAACCCAGCTGATTGACAGTAGGAACGAAGCACGCTTAAATCTGATGAACTCTCGAAATTTTGGTCACACTGGAAGGATTAAAGTATTTTTTTGTTACAATGTTATTGAGTTAACTAATATTCAGACCGACAAACGAGTTAGCTGGCGTAAAAACTTTAATCTTTCCAGAGTGACCAACATTTCAGAAGTTCATCAAAATTAAGCGTGCTACGGTAGTACTGTCAATCAGCTGGGTTTGTTGACAAGCAGTTAAAATTTTAATATGGTATTTGCGGGAAAGAGCCTTTAAAAGATATTATCAACTACCTTGGCAAGACAAGTCTGCCGCTGTACAAAGAAATTAAAAACAATACAATTTAAATTTAACAGTTGTTTATTTTTAATTACTGATATTTAAAGTTCATAGCTGCACTTTAATTGTGTTTTTTCGTACATTTTTTGCCTAAGAAAATAAGGCACCCCAGATAGTATTAATATATTTTGTCCTCACATGTAAACTCTTGCAATCGACTTTTGCGGGTTTTTGATTTTTCCCTCCACTTTTTAAAATGTTCAGTGAGAAGCGCACTCCAAAAGATTAAATTTTTAAATCTTTTCGCTTAGGTTCACACAAAGTTCATTTCAGCAGACTGGCAACGCTATGAACTTTTCTGGTATTTTTTCGTCGATCTGAGTACCGAGGTGAAAACAACGCCAGCTGTTTGCCTCCCGCTCTCTCTCATGACTGACGAACAGTTTTCGTCGATCTGTGGAGTCCAGCCCAGAATTGTGGGATTTGTCAAATAAAAAACATTTAAAATAGCCTGGGAAATGGATAAAGATAGTAAGTCATATTTGTACATTATTAAATATTTGTTAGCGTGGACATATAAAATATTTATGTCTAGACCATATTTGGAAGCTGACGTGCAAGTCGCTGCGGGACAGCTATAAATACCACCTAAAATGCAAGCGACCAAAGAGAGGAAGTGCTGGAGAAGTCCCACTGGAGGAGCCAACGGGTGTTAATCTTTTGGGGTGCCTCTTGTCAGAGCAGTGTTTCTTAGGTCAAAAATGTTGAAAAAACACAATAAAAAGCTCAGAAAAATTGCTTGTTAGAACTAAGTGCAGCTATAAACTTTAAATTAGCAAATAATTATCAGTAAATAAAAAAAAACAACTGTTGTATTTAAAATGTATTGTTTTTTAATTTCTTTGTACAGCGGCAAATACGATTTTTGAATTTGAACTGCTTGTCAACAAACCCGGCTGATTGACAGTACGACCGTACACACTTAATTCTGATGAACTCTCGAAAATGCAGTCACACTGGAAAGTTTTTACGCTAGCGAACTCATTTTTCGATCTGAGTACTAGGTTTAAGGTCCAGGTATAATTTTGAAAATGGAAGTTGAGCTCGTCTTGTATGGCATCCTCCCAAAAAGATCTGTCATCACGAAACTTAATTTTGTCAAGGGTAATTGGAATATCATTTAGGCATACTTGAGTATTCATAAGACATTTTTTCAAAAATCGATATGATAATTTTGGTTTACCTTTAATTCTTTCACTGCGTTTGATTTCATCTTTTTTCTTATTATCCTTTAACTTATCACCAGTTACAACAACTGGATCGGCATTCTCAAGATCTGTGGAATTTTCAATGAGTTGTACTTTTAATTCAGAATCAACAGATTCATTATTTTCCTCCAAAGGAAAATCCAACTCTTCACTTCCTCTTATTAAATAGTCCATTTTTCCTCGATTCCATATTCCTCAATTTATACCCATTTGGTTCATACACGACTTCTCATCAAATTTTCGTTTTCTCACTTACATTTATCATAGAGCGAGCCTTTTCGGTGATTGTTCGAATTATCCGTTCTAATACACCGTTTAATTGTGGAGTAAGAGGAACCGTTAAATGATAGCTGATGCCTTTTTCAAAACAGAAATTTCGCATTTCATTAGAAAGGTATTCCCTACCGTTATCAATATTCAAAATAACAACTTTAAAATTGAAGTGAGCCTCACTTTTAGCCACAAAATCTTTACAAACGAAGAACTTATAGTTATTAAATATTTCGCACAGTAATGTGTATACTGATCAATAAAAACTACATAATAATTTTTATTATCTCTGGTTTGCGGTGTGATTGAACCGCAGACGTCCGAATGGACCACAAATAATAATCGTTGGACATTTTCATTGTTCTTACATTTTTCAAATTTCAATCTAGACTGCTTGCCACTTACACAAGCCTCACACAACTCATGATTTGACTCAACATTGTTTAAAATATTGTTATCTTTAAAAATACCTTTTCCTTTTATTTCTAAAAATTTGCGTACGCTGATATGGCCGTTCATGCCACAATCGATACTCAGCACCAGTTGAATTTTTTTTGTAAATACTTTACTGTTCAATTTAAATTTAATAATCGGTACATTGTACTCACAGACTCCATTAAATACCAATTCACCGTTTTTTGATACTTTACTTCCTCCAGGGTTGAACTCTATGGTTATCCCAGCACCCTGCATCTTCTTACCAGAGAATTAATTGTGCGGAATATTCTTGCAGAACAGCACGTTTTGAAGGATGATTTGATTTCCAAAGCTGCTTAGGTTAAGAGTTCCTTTGGCTTTAGCATAAATATATTCTCCGAGTTTGGCAATCTCAATAGCCACATTTGATTTCAAACGCTCATACTCGGAGAATACAGCTTCGTCATTTATGAGATGATCCGATGCCCCTGAGTCTAGGATAAACTCAACATTATTTGTATTCGGGCTTGATGTTGCTTTCCTCAACGAAGATACACGCCGGATGTGCTGCCATTGCTGCTGCTGCTGTTGTTGTTGCTGCCATTTGAACCTGCCTTTCCTTTCCACTATGTGCAACGGAGTTTTAATTTCCCTGCCTTTTTAAAAGGAAACAATCCTTTTTGAAATGTCCTAATTTTCCACAATGAAAACATTTGGTATTTGGCTTAAGTCCTATGACTTAAACGGTTTCTTTCTAAATTTTAGTACTGCTTTATTGTAAAAGTTATTTTTAAACTCCTTTTTTTATTACCTGCAGGACTTTAGCTTTTTTCATATTTTTGAGCTTTATTTCTTGATCAAGGAGCCGGGTCTTTACAAATGCTAAGATTTCGGATAGAGTCTCTCTATAACCGTATAACACCATCGTAACTGGGTGGAAGAGTTAGTAGTAAGTGGGAAACTTTGTCCATTTCGCCTAGTCTTGCTCCTGACGCGACAAGTTGTGACGACCCGACGTCACAAATAATAAAAAAAGAACATTCCAAAAACACATCTATCTTCTTTATTCTCACTACGCCGCACCACATTCAAAATACGCGCCAAAAAGCGCACACGTTCAAACCGCGCGCCCAAACAGATACGTTGGTCACACTAACATATCGATAAACAACTACCAGGTCTGGCCACACTAACCCTTACGATACTTCGATAACCTAGTACCATCGCTATATTGAGGAACCGATAACGAGTTATCGATAGCGGTATTCTCAACATCGACCGCGCTGGGCACACTCAACGGGGCCTATATAAGCAGAGGCAAGACCCCAGATGAGTCTCTTGCGTTCCGACGATCTTCGAGGAAACATCAGCAACAAGGAGAAATACCCGGGTAAGTGTTCTGGTAGATAGTCTTGGTATTGGTGGAGGATCCGTAAGAGTGCGGTTTTAAATCGGCTCTACGACCTGGTGAGGATCACTGGCGTCCCGGTGTGGTTTCCCTGAAATCAGCCCAGACCCAGTCGTGATCACTGAGGCGGCCCGGTTTACGTAATACAGGCCCACCTCAGTGAGTTCCCCCAGACGTCACGTTTCCGGCTTCCGACCCAGAAACGAAACGGATGTAGAAACGGCAGGTCGAAAGAAAACTAACGATGCCCGGCAGCCGAAACTAACGATGCCCTACATTCCCGAATCCCACTAGAAATCCAAGTAGATCGTTCCCAACGACCCAGAACACTACAAACCCGACGTACACGACGTACACGACATACGCACGACGAAGCAGTTCTCACTCGGCCGCCCGCAGCGCCAACACGGTCACACGGCCGCCCGCAGCGCCAACGCGACAACCCGACCATCCGCCGCGTCAACGCGACCACTCGGCCCATCTACGACGTCAACACGATCACTCGGCCCACCCCGCAGCGCCGACTCGATCTCACACGCTTCTATAGCGTCACGGACACACCGCGAAGCAGTCCCTCTCACACGCTTCTATAGCGTCACGGACACACCGCGAAGCAGTTCGTCTCACACGCTTCTATAGCGTCACGGACACACCGCGAAGCAGTTCATCTCACACGCTTCTATAGCGTCACGGACACACCGCGAAGCAGTTCATCACACTCGCTTCCGGAGCAACGGATCTACGACGGCAAGCAGATCTCCACACACGCTCCCAGATCTACGACAGCAAGCAGTTCATCACACTCGTTTCCGGAACATCGGACCCACGACGGCAAGCAGTTCCTCACACACGCTCCTGTAGCATCACATCCCGACCGCAAGTAGTTCACCACTCGGCCCTTCCGGAGCGCTGAACCAACGAAGCAAGCAGTCTCAACTCACGTATACGTCATCACCCGACAAAACACTACTTTTGTACAATTACTACGAAATACACGCCTACTTTATAATTCTATCCCTCTGGGTCATTCTTGGGGAAAGGGAGGTAAACCGATCTATAGAGGAAATAGAAATATCTGTCTCGAACCCTGACCACGGCGAGCTATACCGCCTCCCAAAACAGGGTCGTTACAGTGGCGCCCGAACAGATTGAGGACAAATAGACAGAAACCTCAAACACCACAAAGATCGTTTACCCTCTTCCTCAACAAATCACAGATAAAATGGCAGACAAGCTAACTAGAAGCTGGATCTCCAATTGTAATAAAACACAACTGGAAACCTATCTAATGGAATTTGACATCAAGCCAGAAACACTGTGCGAAGACATGCGAAAACAAATGTCGGAGTTCATAAAGAACGGTGACCACAGCGAAAAAACCATCATACGCCTCCTAGAACTGGCACAAAAACACGCAAGGACCCCATCACCAGCACCCGACGGATCAGGGAATCAACCGAAAGGGGCTAAGGGGACATCCAACACGGAGCAACACATCAGCGAGAAAACCCCAAACTTGCTACAAATACCAGACACACAAGCGACAAGCAGCGGAAAGTCGATACCCGAACCCAGGAAGACTGACAAAGTGGCCACAATGGGAGTAATACGTAGCTGGGAAAATACAGGGAGAACCTGCAAAGGATCAACCAGCAGCGGCGACGAGTAGTTATACTCGGAGCCGTGGACGTGGCAGGTCCAGCTGGTTGCCGGAAGCCAACCAGGGCTGCCCCGATGGGCAGACAAGCCCCACATCGGAACCCACACGGAACAACACCCACCCCAACGACACGGAACACGCTGGCAACCCCCACGACCACGAATACAACCACGGCAACGACACGGAACACGCTGGCAACCCCCACGACCACGAATACAACCACGGCAACGACACGGAACACGCTGGCGACCCCTACGACCACAAATAGGACCATTACATCAACACGGCAAACATTGGCAACATCAACGACAAAGGAAACGACACGGCAAGCAACGGACAACGAAGAACGACCCCCCATGCCCAGGACAACGACCGGCACAAAAAGGCACCAACTGGCAGATCATCAGCGTCCGCAAACAAAATGGGTAACCCCGCGGCGGCTCTCGGCTCTAGACTTTCCCGGAGTGAAGCCGATCAACTTATCGGAGGAAAGCGAGGAGGAATGGGAGCCAAAACCACGGGGCCGCGAGGAGCACCTGAAACGCGTGGAGGAAGCGGTCGTGCGTCTGAAGGCAACCTGGCGGAGCGGAAACCGCAAGACAACACTGGTGGTCTCGGACAACCACACAACCCGCATCCGCATCGGCAGAGACGGACACGTACACACCAACACCAACGAGACGCCAGTGTCTTAAGCGGGGGGGGGTGTGACGACCCGACGTCACAAATAATAAAAAAGAACATTCCAAAAACACATCTATCTTCTTTATTCTCACTACGCCGCACCACATTCAAAATACGCGCCAAAAAGCGCACACGTTCAAACCGCGCGCCCAAACAGATACGTTGGTCACACTAACATATCGATAAACAACTACCAGGTCTGGCCACACTAACCCTTACGATACTTCGATAACCTAGTACCATCGCTATATTGAGGAACCGATAACGAGTTATCGATAGCGGTATTCTCAACATCGACCGCGCTGGGCACACTCAACGGGGCCTATATAAGCAGAGGCAAGACCCCAGATGAGTCTCTTGCGTTCCGACGATCTTCGAGGAAACATCAGCAACAAGGAGAAATACCCGGGTAAGTGTTCTGGTAGATAGTCTTGGTATTGGTGGAGGATCCGTAAGAGTGCGGTTTTAAATCGGCTCTACGACCTGGTGAGGATCACTGGCGTCCCGGTGTGGTTTCCCTGAAATCAGCCCAGACCCAGTCGTGATCACTGAGGCGGCCCGGTTTACGTAATACAGGCCCACCTCAGTGAGTTCCCCCAGACGTCACGTTTCCGGCTTCCGACCCAGAAACGAAACGGATGTAGAAACGGCAGGTCGAAAGAAAACTAACGATGCCCGGCAGCCGAAACTAACGATGCCCTACATTCCCGAATCCCACTAGAAATCCAAGTAGATCGTTCCCAACGACCCAGAACACTACAAACCCGACGTACACGACGTACACGACATACGCACGACGAAGCAGTTCTCACTCGGCCGCCCGCAGCGCCAACACGGTCACACGGCCGCCCGCAGCGCCAACGCGACAACCCGACCATCCGCCGCGTCAACGCGACCACTCGGCCCATCTACGACGTCAACACGAACACTCGGCCCACCCCGCAGCGCCGACTCGATCTCACACGCTTCTATAGCGTCACGGACACACCGCGAAGCAGTCCCTCTCACACGCTTCTATAGCGTCACGGACACACCGCGAAGCAGTTCGTCTCACACGCTTCTATAGCGTCACGGACACACCGCGAAGCAGTTCATCTCACACGCTTCTATAGCGTCACGGACACACCGCGAAGCAGTTCATCACACTCGCTTCCGGAGCAACGGATCTACGACGGCAAGCAGATCTCCACACACGCTCCCAGATCTACGACAGCAAGCAGTTCATCACACTCGTTTCCGGAACATCGGACCCACGACGGCAAGCAGTTCCTCACACACGCTCCTGTAGCATCACATCCCGACCGCAAGTAGTTCACCACTCGGCCCTTCCGGAGCGCTGAACCAACGAAGCAAGCAGTCTCAACTCACGTATACGTCATCACCCGACAAAACACTACTTTTGTACAATTACTACGAAATACACGCCTACTTTATAATTCTATCCCTCTGGGTCATTCTTGGGGAAAGGGAGGTAAACCGATCTATAGAGGAAATAGAAATATCTGTCTCGAACCCTGACCACGGCGAGCTATACCGCCTCCCAAAACAGGGTCGTTACAAAGTTTCTTTTACTTTTGTATATTTTTCAACAAGACCTTTATCTCCGACATATATATTTTAAATAAAAACCAAAGACAGATATATTCTGATGGGAGGACAAATCTACAAGTAAAATAATAATTATAAAAATCCCATGTCTTTTTTTTCAAAATGTAAATGGCTGTAAATTCATGACGATTTTTTTTTAAAGTAAATAAAAGACATATTTTTGACTTTTTATTGCCGGTAATCAATCAATTTTTAAAACACATGTTAAATAATTGGTAAATTGCCTAATATTAATAAAGTGAAGAAACTCCTTCCTGGCACCAGAATTACGACTAGAAATAATATCATGCGGATCTGACCGAGAGCGGATTAATTTTCCAGGAAGTCAACCCATCTTTGGCAAAAAAATCGAGAGTGGGCAACGTACCATCTTAGATTATAGAGCCAAATGTCTTCCATAAACATTTTTGCCCGGACAATGAAGGGGGCGCGTAAGCCCGCTGGATCAAGTAGTTTGGCAATTTGGGATAGGACCTGACACTTCGTGAACGACGATCCCAAGGTCAATTCGGGCGAAAAGAAGACAAACTCATCAGAAGTCACTTTCCACAGCACGTCGAGAGTTTTGGCCGTGCTCTCTGTGTCGATTTCAAGGAAATCAACGCGAAGGAAATGGTCACTCTGGATGTTGGCCAAAATCGCCTTACTATTGAATTTCCATTTTCTAAGGGGCAATCCTGACGAGTTCAATGTCGACGTCTCGACTATCATAAACTTCCTTTTGTTGGTAATTCAACAGGGGTACATTCGTTTGAACTACTAAATCTAATACCTGATGATCATATTCACGTTCCCGTTTCAATTCTCGATTAAGTGCGTCATTCCTTTCACGATATGGTGCTGGCATTCCTAACCTGATTAATAAATTACCGCACATGAGGTAACACATATCTTCGATCAAAACTAAAGCACGATTATTTATCTCTTCAACGGGAATGCTGTCGAACGGGATAATATGTCCTTCTCCTGGCTCTAAACTACCTCCCTGCCAATTTTCAGCTAAATCGGTTCAGCCGTTCTTGAGTTATAAGTGAAGTAACTATCACGTAACTAACAAGACTTTCTTTTATATGTATAAGTAGGGCCAGTTTCAAAGGCCGGCAAAAGTTTCCGAAAGGGACAGCAAAAGGCGGGCCAGCACATGTAGGACCTTGCCTTCGGCCAAATTAAATTCGTCTCGGACTCGGGCGAAAGCTGCATACCAACAACAACTGACTTTCATGCCGCAGCGCTAGCAACAGCAGGTTCTACAGGAGATCCAGGTATGGCAACAGGAGCAGAGCACCTCAGCGGTAGGTATGGAGCCAGGATCTGGATTAGGAAACCGCCAGTTCCCATCGGAAGTGAGAGCTTCCATTATTCTAGCGGTGGGGCAGGCCTATGAAACTTAGGGGTCGTCTCTACAGGCCGATGTGGTTTCCTTGCGGCATCTATCAGGCAGGAAATGTTGGCCTTAATGCAACAAATAAACGAGGTAGTATGAGGTGATTCCAATGCAGGCGACTTGAAAAAGTCAGGCCCTGCCCCAGTTCTGGCCAGTGATCCAGATAAGCTGAATTCAGCATCGACAAGCTGAGGGCGGAAAAAGTTAGAAGCATGTACCAAGGGCCAGACAAGTGGAAAAAAACATGGTTGATTGGTACACAAATTGCCCAGAAGGGGACCGATGTACACATGACATCGTGTGAGAGTTTTATCGCTTGGTAGAAGTCATGATTAAAGAAGAGGGATAGGGATTGGCCAGACATACATATTTAGACGGTGAGTCTAGCTTTTGGAAAATTTAAAATTTAAATGAGAATTAGCCGGTGTCATACTTCCTAAATGCCCTCGTTGCCAGGCGAGAAGGTGTTACATTTTTATTTTGTTATTTAGTTGTTATGAGAATATAAATTAAATGTAGTCTCTAAGGAAATCCTTTGAGAAGAGACAAGCACAATACGAGATAACAAGAAGAAGAATTTTAAGTGGAGAGAACGACCAACTCAAGCAGATTCTGGGACGAACAGGCGCCGGTCTTCAAGATACAGGAGTCTCAGTCAGCAAACTGGGTCACGGATGCATGTCTGCGATTGTACTGCTTCTCGTGGGAACAGGGGTTGGAATATACACTGGGCTTTGTGGTACTGTGGACTATATACACATATATAATTTGTTTATGTCTAACTCATTGGTTTAATGAAAGGGAAAATGTTTACAATAAGTTTGGGTCGTGGGACCTAGTGTCCGGGGTGTTAGGTTCGCGGAACGAGTGTTAATGCGTTTGGTTAACAAAAAAAAATTTGCTTCTCCTCAAGTGTTAAGGCCAGGGTTCAATATTGGTTGAGGTTTTTCTAGTTGCTTGCGGCTAATTTTCTGTTTTTTTGTTAATAATAGTAATTCTGTGTGGGATATTCATAGATTTATAAGATATTAAAATGATTTTAAAGGTTATGATATTAATAAGCTTAAAAATATTATTTGTCTTGTCTGTTGTTTCTATCCTAGTTATATTGTTGCTTGTAAATATTAGGTTGTCAAATAACTCCCTTCCGCTTTTTTGCTCTTTATTCAATGCTTTATAAAAATTGATACAGTGAACGGATTGAGCTAAATTATGCACCGTTTGCTAGCGGAAAAACTATAATGTTTCCAGTGTGACCAAAATTTCGAGATTTCTTCAGAATTAGGCGCGCTACGGTCGTACTGTCAATCAGATGGGTTTGTTGACAAGTAGTTAAAGTTCAAAAATCTTATTTGCGTGAAAGAGCCTTAAAAATATATTATCATCTACCTTAGCAAGACAAGTCTGCCGCTATACAAAGATATTAAAAAACAATACAATTTAAATTTAACAGTTGTTTTTTAATTTACTGATAATTATTTGCTAATTTAAAGTTCATAGCTGCACTTTTTTTTTTTTTTGTACATTTTTGACCTAAGAAACACTTTGCTCTGACAAGAGGCACCCCAGATAGTATTTATGTTATTTTGTCTTCACATGTAAACTATTGCAATCGACTTTTGCGGGTTTTTTTATTTTTTCCCTCCAATTTTTAAAATGTTCAGTGAGAAGCGCACGCCAAAAGATTAAATTGCTTAATTTTTTCGTTAGGGTTAACCAAAAGTTCATTTCATTTATTAGAAAAAAATAAGCTGTATAGCGCCAAGTATTTAAATATCGAATAACTATCGATGATTCGTGTGGCCATTCACTTAACAAATTTTAATTCCAAGGTAACTTTGGATAGGAATTGATTGAAACTGTCTTCAATACCAGTACGATTGCATAGCAATTTTATATCTCTTGATTTGTTGCACGCTCTGTGGGGGTGATTCCTACAAAATTTAGCGTCAAATTGGTATTTTTGTGATGGTTGTTGTCATGGACGTGATCTTTTTGTGATGGTTGCTGGCTGGGACGGCTCTAGTATGGCCACCTACGTGATCATGGGAAAGTTTCAAAACCAAGGAAACTGCCGATAGAAATTTAGTTAAGGAGACATTTCGGACCCCATAAAGCATATGTATTCTTGATCAGCATCACCATGTCCGTCTGTCCTTCCGTCCGTCCGTATGTTTCCACCCAAACTAGTCCATCAGGTTTAAAGCTATCTGCTTGAAACTTTCCCAAAAGTTGTCTTTCTATTCCAGGTAGTAAATAAGGCGAAACGAGTCGGATTTGGCGACTATATCATATAGCTTCCATAGGAACAATAGGAAAAAAACATTTTAAAAGTATAACTTTGTTGTTTTTAATTCTTTTTTTTGTTCTTTGGGATTTGGTAATATTTTAATACTATGAAATTAAAGTTTTAATTAAATTTAAATCTGGCATTGAAATAGTCACCATAGCAATCAGAAAATTGAAACATATAAAATTGAAAAAATTGTATTTGGCTGTTTTTCCATTTATCAAAATATTCCTATGAAAATATTTACTATATCAGAATAACGTTTTTAGTTTTGCCAAAATCGGAAAACAATATAATATAGCTGCCACAGAAACGATAGCAAAATGCAGCGCATTGCTTCATTGTTTTAAGTTATGTAGGTATAAAATGTTTATGCTACTTATCTCTCAGGTAGATGGACGCCGCAGTGCTAACGTAATATTGTCAAACAAATGATAAGTTGATAACTGCGATAATCAAGACAAACAGCTGGACTGCTATCTGTCAGATAATTTTTAAAACCGTTCACAACTTCTACAAATAGCTCAGTCTTGTTCAGATTAATACCGCAGTCCGCTGTATTCTCATACGTGAGCAAGACCAATTCTTGGTCAGTTATAACAATAAATCAAGGTGAATTTAATTTAACGAACCTTCGCGCTACGGCTTAGAATTTTCGTATCCTCTACATAAAAAAATATTCATTATTTAGCTATTGCAGTGTGTCAATTTATCTATCGGTTAATAAGTTTATAGTTTTGTTGACGAGAAGAAATCTTTCGATAGTGCAACATTTTGATGTATCGATATTTCTCCTATCGAGTATAAATGTTGCAGAAAAACGGAGTGTCATAAATTTAGATTAAATATTTAGCTACATTTCGCGGGGTGTTTAGTTAAGTCGTGCGGAATTAAACAACTACTAATTGTGTAGGTATTAAAAGAGTTAAAAGTCAAATATAATGCCTGTGTTATGTTAATGAAACGAAACGATGAAATTTTAATATGGTCAGAAAACTAATGTGTAATATCATACTCTTGCCTGCGTATCCAAGCACATAAAGGACCCTGATTAATCTGTTAAAAAAATATTCTATTGATTGATATCATCGAAGGTAGAGTCCGAATCAATATATTAGTATGTATAATGTGCTGTTGCTTGAAGGTTCCCCATACATACATATGTGTATATCTTATTCCATTGCCAATGTGGCCAATACAAGTGCAAATACGTATGTAGCTCATGTCATGACGTATGACGTAAGATTCCTTATTGTGGAGCATTAAAGTTCTTTTAAACATACATATATGGATGTATCGATTATAAGAAATATTGATCAATTGTAACGTGTTCGGATTGAAACAAGAAGTTGCCTTTTTTATTACAAGGCGTGGGATAATTAAATGCGTGCGAAACTATTTACAAGTGTATATATTTATACATATACATATACATTACATATATAAATACACTCGTAATTATGACAAAACACCCTTCGCTTACGCTTAGCGTGTAAAGTTTGCATGTACAGGAATTTTTGACGATGATCCAAATATGATATGGCCAAGTCAAACTCAAATACATTCAAAATTTTAGTAGGTGTAGGTAGCTGTTCAAACGTATTAATGCGTGTATATCTATTTATGGAAAACATTCGTACCTCATCACTCTGATAAAAGTTCCGTTCTTTCACAGTTGTATTAATATAAATAGTAGTACCCTTTTAAGCCTTTTCCTATACAACACGAAAATGCATATAAATGTTTCTTTATATTTTTATTATGATTAATTGTATGGAAAGTAAAATACATAGAACATTTTGAGGAATTTGTATTTCTTATACATGCTATGAGATATGTGATGATTTTTCCAGTCGCGAACGTATTTTAAAACGCCTTTAATGAAAAAAAAACAAAAAAATTGTGTCCTTTTTGTGATTTATAGTTTTTAATAATTTCCACAAGCATGTAGAGTCGAATACGTCGACTTAGACTTACAGTGACAAACTTAATTATTGGCACAGCAAGCATGTTAAACTTTGAGGCTATTTTTCTTCTTATAACATGCTGATATTAAAATAAAACAAAATATTTTTAGATAGAATCATTAATTTTATGTTAAATACAAGTGACTTCATTAATTTATCTTTTATAAATAATTTATTAAAAATAAAAAACCAAAGAATGGACCGAATTTGCCTGAACAAAATTATTGGCACACTTGGGTTTTAATTAACTATTTTGTTAAAACTTTATCGATTTGGCCACTTTTTTTTTATTATCACATTTGCCTCTAAAATCTTAATAGTATAATGATTAATTTTATAGCTTAAATTGTTTTAGTGCCTTAAAATAAAGGAAAAGTTGTTTGACTTTACAAGGTAAAAATAAAATCAACCGCAAGTGTCCAAAAATTAAAATTTAATAAGCAGGATCAATGCAAATCGAAAGTCAAAATTGGGAAAAGGATGCCCAGAAGCCATTTTTCCCATTCGGAGTCCTTTACTACATTTTAAAGGACCCACGCAGTTGCAAAATGCAGGGCACACTGGCTAATCCATGGCTTTGAGAGGCCAGGAAAGCGTAAGGATCGTATAAAAGGACAATGTCAACCTCCAGATCTCCTCAACACGTATCGAAGTTGATGATAAGAAGGACTTTGGTAAGGATATTCACCCAACAGCCTTTTGCCAGGCCCTGCATGATGGTTTCTACAAATGAATTGAACCAAAAAGAAATCAATAGATTTTAAAAGTCAAAAACAACCTTTTAGTACACCGAAATTTATATCTGAGTATGCCAATCGACTTTTGGGTCCTTTCAACCTTCACGTATGATTTAATAATCCTTTCCCCAAGCAAAGAGCTTATGTTAGAACCCTTTTCAAGCCGATGGATTTTTTCTAGGAGCAATTCGTTTGTAGAAACCATCATGCAGGGCCTGAAAAAGGGCTGTTGGGTGAATATCCTTACCAAAGTCCTTCTTATCATCAACTTCGATACGTGTTGAGGAGATCTGGAGGTTGACATTGTCCTTTTATACGATCCTTACGCTTTCCTGGCCTCTCAAAGCCATGGATTAGCCAGTGTGCCCTGCATTTTGCAACTGCGTGGGTCCTTTAAAATGTAGTAAAGGACTCCGAATGGGAAAAATGGCTTCTGGGCATCCTTTTCCCAATTTTGACTTTCGATTTGCATTGATCCTGCTTATTAAATTTTAATTTTTGGACACTTGCGGTTGATTTTATTTTTACCTTGTAAAGTCAAACAACTTTTCCTTTATTTTAAGGCACTAAAACAATTTAAGCTATAAAATTAATCATTATACTATTAAGATTTTAGAGGCAAATGTGATAATAAAAAAAAGTGGCCAAATCGATAAAGTTTTAACAAAATAGTTAATTAAAACCCAAGTGTGCCAATAATTTTGTTCAGGCAAATTCGGTCCATTCTTTGGTTTTTTATTTTTAATAAATTATTTATAAAAGATAAATTAATGAAGTCACTTGTATTTAACATAAAATTAATGATTCTATCTAAAAATATTTTGTTTTATTTTAATATCAGCATGTTATAAGAAGAAAAATAGCCTCAAAGTTTAACATGCTTGCTGTGCCAATAATTAAGTTTGTCACTGTAGATTGATATCTTTATTTTTGTTAAGCAGACTTCGAAAAAAATGGTACTTTAATTTATCATTCAACAAAACCAAACAGAAAAATGAAATCAGTATTTTTTATACAAATGAACCAATAGCTTAGATTAATTGAGTTACTATGAACCTTAAAGATTTTGGCTTAAACTAAATATTATGGGTTTTGGCGTGGGAAATTCCCATATATAGAAAATCGTTTACAAAAGATACCAATATAATTTATATTTTTCAGTCTAAATCTTGAATCGGACGGTTTTTCCTACTTACGGGAAAAAGATAATAGAAATTAAAGACATTAAAACTATTTTAAAAAATCCTAATAGTAAATGTTTATTTATTTAAATTATGTTGACAACTGATTTTAATTTCGTCTAAATTAAACCAAATTAATATATTAATCAATTCTTAAGGTTGAAGTCCTAATTGACAGTAAAATAAATATTATAATAATATATTTAGATAAATGTCAAGAAAAGCCATTTTACTGATCATCATTTTAACTTCTGCAATCAAAAGAACCCTGTGCTAGTGCTTTACCACCTACAGTGGCTCACAGCTTATTTGATGCAGGGCCCATTTCAAAATAAGTGGCTGTAACTTTTATTTAGTTATTTTAAAAATTTCAACGTGAACAGAACGATGTTGATAATGTCAAATTCAAATATTTCAGTAGAAATTGGTTTTTACTAGTATTATAATTTATCAGATTGAAAGCTTATCAGTGTGCCAAGGAAATATATTTATACTTGTGGGCAAGAAAAAAATATTTTCTTGTCGCCCTGTACTTGGATCAATCCACTTTCAGCTAGATACGAATTTGTGACGCTTCATGCAGTCATTTCCTTATCTTAAACGCGTCAATAATGCGTCACAAACGTAATAACACAGCATTTCTTTTTTAGATGCTACGCAAACCAAAACGATTATTTATGAGACTCTTATTAAAAGGGATTTTTTTTTTTATTTATGTCGTTCTGACTTTTTGTCTGTCGGTTTCTACAAAATCGTCTCTTAAGTTTAGAAGCTATCGCAAAAACTTTCCAAAAGCCATCTTTCTATTGCAGGTATTATAAATATTTTTGTTTTTTGTAATTTGGTAAAATAAATATTATGGAATTACGGTTTTAATTAAATTAAAATCGGACAACAATATCATATCTTAAAAACGATGGCCAAATGCATCTCAAAATCAACATGGCTTCATTGTTTTTAGTATATAGGCATATAAATCGAAATGTAGTCGTTTTGTAATAACTGCAAGGGTATATAAACTTCGGGTTGCCGAAGTTTGCTTTCTTTTTTTTTCCGATTGCTATGACCGCTATATGAGAAAAAAAGCAAAACTAAAGGCGTAATTCTGATATAGTATATAATTACTATATCTCATAGGAATATTTTGATAAGTAGAAAAACAACAAAATAATTTTATTTTTAAGTTTATTTTTTAATTTTCCGATTGTTTCTATGGGAGCTATATAATATAGTCGCCCGATCCGGCTTGTTCCGACCTTTATACTACCTGCAATAGAAAGACAATATTTGGGAAAGTTTTAAGCAGATAGCTTTAAATCTGAGGGACTAGTTTGCGTAGAAACGGACGGACAAACGGACGGACGTACATAGCTTCATCGACCCTCCTGGTGATGCTGATCAGGAATATATTTACTTTATAGGGTCGTAAATGTCTCCTTCACTCCTTGCTTACTTTTGACTAAAATTATAATACCCTCTGCAAGGGTTTAAATATATTTTATATGACTGCACGTGTGCAATCGTCGTGTGTTTTAGCAAAAAACAATTTGGTAACTGCAATTGCAAAATGTCCAAAAATTTGTCTTTTCTATACCACGGAACTTGAGGGTGAAGGAACTTATGTTAGTATGGGACTCAGAAACATCCAAATATCACTTTCTAAAAATTCAATATGTTTCTGTATTATCGGATCTTTCTTATGGTAAAATTGAATTTTTGAAAATGAAAAAAAATAGAATGGGGGTAAGTAATGCGTATAAGTTTTAAAACGTAGAAGGTATGATTTGGACGCTAAAAATAGTCGCTGGGATATAATAAAGTGCCGGATTTTCATAAAATTAAAAAAAAGTACTACATCTCGGAGTGAATGGTTATGTTTAATAACAACGAACTTGTAATTCATTTTTATACCCCTGCAGAGGGTATTATAATTTCAGTCAAAAGTTTCCAACGCAGTGAAGGAGGCATTTTCGCCTTTATAAAGTATATATATTCTTGATCAGCATTACCAGGAGAGTCGATCTAGCCTTGTCCGTCCGATTCTACGCAAACTAGTCCCTCAGTTTTCCCAAAAGTTGTCTTTCTATTGCAGGTAGTATATAAATCGGGCGACTATATCATATAGCTCCCATAGGAACAATCTGAAAAAACTACAAAAAAAATTATAACCTTGTTGTTTTTAATTTTTTTTTGTTCTTTAAGATTTGGTAATATTTAAATATTAAGGAATTACGGTTTTAATTAAATTAAAATCGGACAAAAATATCATATAGCTGCCATAGCAAAATCGACATAGCTTCATTGTTTTTAGTAATATAGGCATAGAAATCGAAATGTAGTCGATTTGTAACAACTGCAAGGCTATATTAACTTCGGCTTGCCGAAGTTTGCTTCCTTTCTTGTTTTTAATTATATTTTTGTTTTTTTTTTCTATATCAGTATTATGCTATTTGCAAAATCTCCGAATGCAGTTATGTACAATATCAGAAACCATATATGCTACACTTTTGCCAGTACTAAATTAAAAAATTAATTAAATTTATTTTCACTTACAGAGTAGACCATAACAAATGGCCACTATAGATGGAAGACCGGCGCAGTATGGTATATCACTTAAACAACTGCGCGAGCTCATGGAGCATCGTGGTCGTGAAGGTGTTATGAAGATTGCCGAATTTGGTGGTATTCATGAATTATGTAAAAAGTTATACACATCTCCCAATGAAGGAAAGTTTTTTCCATTTAATATATTTATACAATTGTATAACGTATATGTTGTGACTTTAGGTCTAAGTGGCTCGAAAGCTGACGAGGAGCACAGGCGGGAAACATTCGGATCAAATGTAATACCACCGAAGCCACCGAAAACCTTTTTGACACTAGTCTGGGAGGCTCTTCAAGATGTAACCCTTATTATTTTAGAGGTAGCTGCATTAGTATCGCTCGGTCTATCATTTTATAAACCCGCCGACGAGGACGCGCGTAAGTAATTAAATTCTGATTATTGAGTTAAGCTGCAATGGAATCCTATACTATAAGGCTTTATTTTATTAAACAGCTGTGCTACAGGAGGAGGAGGAACACCATGGTTGGATTGAAGGATTGGCCATACTGATTTCTGTTATTGTAGTAGTTATAGTGACAGCTTTTAACGATTACTCAAAGGAAAGACAATTCCGAGGTCTGCAGAATCGTATTGAGGGCGAGCACAAGTTTTCAGTTATCCGTGGTGGGGAAGTGTGCCAAATTTCTGTTGGAGATATTCTTGTTGGCGATATTGCCCAGGTTAAATATGGAGACTTATTGCCAGCAGATGGTTGTCTTATTCAAAGCAACGATTTAAAGGTATGTTAAAAGTAATGATAATATAAATGACATAAAAAAGTACTTGTAGGAAATTTAGTGTGACTACAGCATATAAACCAATAAAATCAGAAGTTCCGCTGAATACGGCAATGCTCTAGAAGACGGCCATCTATTATCCTCCGTTGACGGCGATATATAATGAATTTAATTGAATTAAAATTTCTATCTGCTAAAGAGCGAATACGACTAACGACAAAGTAGGCAAATGGCAGTAAACAATTAAGTAATTCCACATCTTTAATCTTTAGTTAAACCAATAGATTTGAGAAGACCGATATAAAACGAAAGTAATTGAGTAATTGCATTGTTTTTTTTTGTTACCAAACTCCACATCCTCTATTAATGTTCAAGCGTAAGGCGCATTTCGGAAGTTGCACGTCGAAAACTGAATGCAATTTTTGGTCTTGATCGACCTAAAATCATATCTATCTCACTCTCAAACACGCTAGCTAGTATTGATGATTTATTATTGATCAACAACAGCCTTAAGAAAGCGAGGTCAACTTAAATGGTTTCTCGATTTTGGGTTTTCTACAGAATTTTCGATCTCTTCTGTATCTAAAATCGTTCCACTCACTTACACTAAAGAATTTCAAGAATAGGCGTTTACAAAAATATAAAACAATTATCCATTTATGAAAACAAAAAAAAATAATAATTTTGTGTTAAAAATTAGACTTCCAGGTAGCATGGCTTCTGGATTATTTTAAAATTGTACTTCAATATAGGAACATTTCCTTTAAATACACAACTTATTAATATGTTGTTGTATTAATAATACATTACACGTATTTGAATGCATATAAAAAAATGAAAAACTTATGAATAGCCTCTTTAAAAAAAAACTAAAAGCTCTTCGTACCTGCCAAAGTCTTCATAAGTAATTAAAAAGATTCTTAAACTAATTTAAGGTTAGAAGTCCTTAACGTAATCAGTTGTTTAGTTTTAGGGTTAAAAAAAAGCCGTGTTAGTTATTCCAGTTGTTAATATAATAAAATACTCTATTTTATCTGATTAAGCTTTTATATATATATATATTAATATAGTAATTTTGTTTTTAAATTTACTAAAATCGATATCTTATTTAAATTATTATTTAAATTATGTTTATGGAAATTTAAAAACATGCTAAATCCCAGTTTTTCACGGATTATACAATATTTGACTTTAAATTGTCTAAAATAGTGCTGCGGTTTACAAAAAATAATTGTTTGTGATGCCTCACAAATATATATATATATATGTGGTCGAAAACGTGTTCTTAACTTCTGACCGAATAAGCTTGAATTGAACAAGATTCATACTTAATCCATAAACTTTAACGTTTTATTCAAATAGATTATTTTTTGTTCTGCAGGTGGACGAATCTTCATTAACTGGCGAATCTGATCATGTCAAAAAGGGAGCGGACGTTGATCCCATGGTTCTATCCGGAACCCATGTTATGGAAGGCAGCGGTAAAATGGTTGTTACCGCCGTTGGGGTTAACTCTCAAGCCGGTATCATTTTTACGCTCCTTGGTGCGGCAGTTGATGAGCAGGAAGCTGAAATTAAAAAGATGAAAAAGGGTTAGTACGAACAAACTTAATTTGGCTGCATTTTTGAACACCATCCAAACCCTTTCTGAAATATTGTTAATTAAATAGTAATGAAACGGAGGTATTATGAAACATATTAATTGTTATAAAGGTGTATACTATATATTTATTTATTTTTTTTTTTTGTTGCTATTTTTCTATATTCCAATTGTCATATGTGAATTGCATGATGTGAATTGATTGACCCATCATCCTTCATCTACCCAAACAACCTACCAATTAAAACCTGCGACCAACACCTACTACATACCAACCAACAAATATCTTCAAAAATTTAAACCAAAATACAAACGAAACGGAAACATTAAATGATTAAAATGTCGTTGTTGATATTCAGAAGCCAAAAGGGCCAACAAACAAAAAAGTTTGACAGGTGAATTCAAGCCTACTATTAATATTTATTATTTGTGTACTAAAAATATTTTACATATAATTAATTATATGTTTATCGTATATTTTTTATTCATATATGCCCCATCTACTTTAAAATATCTCAAGTTTATACTAAAACAAATTTAATAAGATATGCAATTTTTGTATATTTTAACTTTTAGTATAGGAATTATTTGAGTTGCATTCAATAATTTCTGTATCCGATAGTTTCGGCAAGGCTTTTCCAAAAAGGTCTTTAAAAAATAAGCTTTGAAATAAAATAAGTTTTTCATAACAGTTAAATAACAAACAAAACCCTTCCTCCTACTTATCTTTTCTTCTGTTTTTGCAAATGTTTTATGATAATTTTAAGTAAAAAGTAAGAGTTTGAAAAATCCTACTGAACACGGACTTTTTCACTGTTATTTACTAAAATATTTTTGACATGACAATCTAATACTTCTTGTTGTCCATAAATATAATGGTTGCTCCTTCAACTTAAAAAGTATTTTCCTTACCCCGTTAATCGTAGAGCAAAACAAGAAAGGAAAGCTAACTTCGGGCGGAGCCGAAGTTGAAATACCCTTGCAGAATATTCTGCAAATTATATTCTCCAAAATTATTCATATGATGCATTCTTAATACTCATAAAAAATCCCAACTTCCTAACTTTAAAAACACCAAAGTTATGGCATTTCCAATCGTTCAGTTATATGGCAGCTATAGAATATCCTTATGAAATTTGATATGTCGGATTGATTGGGCAAAAATAAAACCCATAGAAAGTCCCAACTTCCTAACTTAACAAACACCAAAGTTATGGCATTCCCGATCAATCAGTTATATGGCAGCTATAAGATATAGTCGGCCAATCCTTATGAAATTTGGTAGGTCGGATTAATTGGCCAAATATAAAACCCATAGAAAATCCCAACTTCCTAACTTAACAAACAGCAGAGTTATGGCATTTCCGATTAATCAGTTATATGGCAGCTATAGGATATAGTCGGCCGATCCCGGCCGTTCCGACTTATATACTGCGTGCAAAGGAAAGAAGGGTGTGTGCAAAGTTTGAATTCGATATCTTTAAAACTGAGAGACTAGTTCGCGTAGAAACAGACAGACGGACAGACAGACGGACATGGCTATATCAACTCAGGAGGTGATCCTGATCAAGAATATATATACTTTATAGGGTCGGAGATGTCTCCTTCACTGCGTTGCACTCTTTTGACCAAAATTATAATACCCTCTGCAAGGGTATAAAGATCCAGCAGCTCGAAAGAAACAATTAATGTAATAAATGGGTGTATCAGTTGAAAACGGCAAGGTCTTAAACAAGACTTCGGAAAGCGAAATACTTGCTCAGTTAAAAGCAATCGACTTAAGACTTCTCCAATCGCCATTTTTATGTGTACGCAGAGTTCTTAAGCTTAACACAAAATCTTTTCTTTATGTCAAGATTACTTTATGCAAATGATTACTTTAAACTAGCATAATTCAGCACACAATAACTCTATTTGCTAAGTGTTTTGCTTGTCCTGAACGTATCGCGTAAGTTCCAGAGATTTTTGCAAGGTTATTACTTCCCAACTGCTGTAAATGCAGAGCAATCGGCATTTCGACATTTTTCTAAAAATGTACATAAAATGAACCGTTGCACCAAGAATTAAAGGATTTCACAGAATTTTCAACAAAGCAAGCAAGAGAGCTAATTAATAATTTGACTTTAGGTCTAATGGTAAGGGCTAGGGTCTAATGACACAATTACATATTCACTTATTAGAAATAGTTAATATATTTAAGAACAATAAAGTTGTGTAGATTACAAACAAAAATGTTGGCAGCTATGTAATAAAATCGATATAAAATTCGAATTTATAAAATTAAAATTTTTTTTAAAATTGTTAAAATAACTATAATTTTTTGTTATATATCTACTATTATTATTTTTAGATTAATCTCCAAATCTTTTTTTTTAGAACTATACTAAAAGCTATAGACTTCAAACTTATAGTTTATAAATTTGTTTTATATCCGTTCATAGTCTTTTTATACGTGTTCGCAGATAAAGTTCTTAAATTTCAGTCAAACGTTTTTACGCAAACTAGTCTCTCAGTTAAAGCTATAGAAACTATTCCACAAATATTCTTTCTTTTGCAGATACTATATAGTCGGAAAGGGCCATATGGCTTCGATTGGAAAAATCGTGAAATTAAATCAAAAATTAAAACTTTGTTCTTTTTTAACATGTACGGATATACTCCGAGGCATAATAATGTTGAACAAGAATTACGGTTTTAATTTTATGAAAATGCGACGACCATATCCTTTAGCTGACATAGAAACGATCGATAAATTGATCGTTGATGTTTTTAAGCAAATAGGCATTATAATCAAATATTTAATTAATTATGATAATTAATCATAATTAAATCAAATATTTTAAGCTTTTTGTCTACACAGAAATTGTTTCTTTATATATTAGGTTGTCAAATAACTCCCTTTCGCTTTTTTGCTCTTTATTCAATGCTTTATAAAAATTGATACAGTGAACGGATTTAGCTAAAATATGCGCCGTTTCGTTCGATAATGTGTTCCCATTTAGACTGCAACTTCATAATACCCCCTCGTAGAATCTTCCCTCCTTATTTGCGAAAAACTCTGACAGCCACTTTTCACAACCCTCTTTAGAGCCCAACTTTACACCAGTAAGGGCATTCGCCATGGACAGGAAGAGGTGGTAGTCACTTGGGGCTATGTCCAGGCTATATGGTGGATGCGATAAAATCTCCCATCCGAGCTCCCGTAGATTCTGACGAGTCATCAAAGAAATGTGTGGCCTGGCGTTGTCCTGGTGAAACACTACACCCTTCCTGTTGGCCAATTCTGGTCACTTCTGGCCGATCGTTAGCTTCAAGCAGTCCAGTTGTTCGCAGTAGATGGTAGAATTAAGCGTCTGGCCATATGGGTGCAGCTCATGGTGTAAGATTCTCTTCCAATCCCACCAAACACAGAGCAAAACTTTCTTGGCCGTCAATCCCGGCTTGGCCACAGTTTTGGACGATTCACCGGCCTCTTCAACCAAGACCGCTTTCTCTTGATATTGTCGTATGTGATCCATTTTTCGTCGCCAGTCACCATTTGCTTCAAAAATGGGTCGAGTTCACTCTGATTCAGCAGCATATCGCAGGCGCTGATTCTGCCCAACACGTTTTTTTTGTATGCCTTCTGCAGATGGTTTAAATCGGTTCGGCGATGTCACGAGATGTCGCATGCCGGTCTAGCTTGATGTTTTCCATGATTTGATCTGTATTTGTCGTCACAAAACCATTCCTCCTCGGTTCGAAGTGATAGAGTACATCCCCTAAAACACCATTAATCTCACGGAATGTTTCTCTAGCGGATTTACCTTTTACGAAGGAAAACTTTAAAACAGCGCAAATTTCGGCGTTATCGAACTCCATGTTTACACATGTATAACTTTCAACGCTATAACCAAACTTGTTATGAATAACGTCGTTTTGTAGGTTATGTCAACCCTTTCAATCGATATATAGAATTGCCCGGTACCGATATGTAGCGCTTTGCACAAAGCCGACAAATTCAAAAACCAAAAAAAAACGGAAGGGGGAGATATTTCACAACCTGATATATACAGCTGCGGTCATGAAAATGGTAGTGCGCTTAAGCGCATCACGTTATGTAGAATAACCAAATGGTAACCGCAATTTATTTTAACCAAATGGTGGAAATAATATATATATTTATTATTAATAGTTCAAATGATTTTTTAATAATAGTTGATAAAGGTTGGCTCTCCAAGTCTTTTTAACAAGAAATTCACAAAATTTTGCCGTTCATGAAAATATTGGTGGCTTCTTAAAATTGAAAATGATGATCTACTATTATCTACAATCTAATGCCTTTATTCTGCAACAAGGAGTTGCAACGGCGTGGCATAGAATCGATAAGGTCCTGGCACCGCTTTTTAGGAATTTCATTACATGCTTACTGAACCACTTGCCAAAGCTGAGATTTGATAGATGGTTAAACAATGGCTACAGCTCCCTTAACATCCCCCCATAAGTTTTCGTTCGGGCTTAAATCCGGCGATTAAGCTGGGCATGGCATTACGTCGATCTTTTCGTATGCAAACCAAGCCTTAGCGTACTTACTGGGATCGTTAACCTCTTGAAACAACGTCTATTTTGAGGCCATTTCCCAATTGGCATATGGTAACACTATGTTTTTTAAAACATCGACGTCCACATTTTGGTTCATTTTGCCATTTATCATATGGATGAGAGCCACACCAGCATAAGAGAGAGAAGCCCAAATCATGTTAAACGGTCTTCGAACATACTCTCTGTACCACCAAATTAAATAATCTTACTAGCGTCAGTCCAAAGTATATTGCGCCACTTAAAAATGGCCAATTTTTATGAACTTTCGCAAATTGAACGAGAAAGGAAACAAATTTCGGTCAGCCGGAGTTTATATACCCTTGCTGTTATTACAAATCGATTGTAATAATTGTTCCTATGGGAGCTATATGACATTGTCGCCGATCCGGCTCTTTCCGACTTATATACTACCTGAAATAGAAAGACAACTTTTAGACGGATGGTGACGCTGATTAAGTATAGATATATTCTTGATCAGCATCACCAGAAGAGTTGATGTCCGTCCGTCCGTTTCTACGCACACTAGTACCACAGTTTTCAATCTATCTGCCTGAAACTTTTCCAAAATTTATCTTTCTATTGCAGATAGTATATAAGTTGGGATTTGGTAATATTTAAATACTATGGAATTACGGTTTTAATTAAATTAAAATCTGACATATATTACAAAGCTCGCATAGAAAAAATCCAAAAATTAAAAAAAAAAATTTATTTTAATTTTACTTTCCTGTTTTTCTATTTATTAAAATATTGCTTTGAGATATAGTAATTATTTACTATATCATAATTACGTTTTTAGTTTTGTAAAAATCGGTGGCAAAATGCCTCGCAAAATCGAGATAGCTTCTTTGTTTTTAGTAATATAGGCATTTAAATCGAAATGTAGTATCGACTAAATTTGCAATAACTGCAAGGGTATATTAACTTCGGCTTGCCGAAGTTTGTATCCTTTTTTGTTTAATTGTATGTTTAATTGAAAGTTATACTTTTTCCATTACTAGTAATGCAGTTTATATCTGTCCTGCATTACAATGGCCGCCTTTTTGCCTATGGCAAAGTAATCCAGGTGTTAACCATTTTTTATATATTCATTAAATGATCGGAAATTTATCATTCACTATAATACAGTCTGCAAATAAAAATTTGCTATATTTTAATGAACCCGTATAAAAAAACAAATAGCATAAGTTTGAAGTTCTTAAATTTATTTTTTTATTTTAATCTTAACACAGGTTTTTTTATTGCCAAACTTAATCAGTTAATGTCAGCTTGTTTTGATGTTTATATATTATTTAAATATTTTTTGCACGATGAAGGTGAAAGCGACGGTCGAACGCAAAAGGGGACGCAAGCGCCAACTCCACGTCAAACAGTTTCAAGCGAAGGGACCAAGTCTGAATCTGAGGGAAATCATGTGCCGCAATCTTCGTCGACTTCCGCAGCTCCCGAGACAGGACATAAAAAAGAAAAATCTGTGCTGCAGGCAAAGTTGACTAAATTGGCTATACAGATTGGTTATGCTGGATCGACCATTGCCGTACTCACAGTTATAATTCTAATAATTCAGTTTTGTATTAAAACTTTTGTTATTGATGACAAGCCCTGGAAGAACACTTATGCCAATAACTTGGTGAAACACTTAATAATTGGTGTCACAGTATTAGTAGTGGCGGTACCAGAGGGACTTCCTCTGGCTGTAACCTTATCTCTAGCGTATTCTGTCAAGGTTAGTTTTCAAAAGATAAAACCATAATTGGTTGGCATTCATTTTCATCCTTTTTTATAGAAAATGATGAAGGACAATAATTTGGTTCGACATTTGGATGCGTGTGAAACAATGGGTAATGCCACTGCCATTTGCTCTGATAAGACTGGAACTCTTACAACCAATCGTATGACTGTTGTACAATCCTACATCTGTGAGAAATTGTGCAAAGTTTTGCCAACCCTTAGTGATATACCGCAACATGTGGGCAATTTGATTACAATGGGAATATCTGTTAACTCGGCGTACACTTCAAATATAATGGTAATTTGTTTTATTGATTTGTACCCCGGTTAGTACTAATCAATTTTGTATTGCTTTTGAACAAAAAGGGTGGACACAACCCGGGCGATTTACCAATCCAAGTTGGAAACAAAACCGAGTGTGCTCTTTTGGGCTTTGTTCAGGGGTTAGGTGTCAAGTACCAATCTATTCGAGATGAAATTACAGAGGACAAATTTACCCGCGTGTATACTTTTAATTCCGTTCGCAAGAGTATGGGCACTGTAATACCCCGTCCTAATGGAGGATATCGTTTATATACTAAAGGAGCTTCTGAAATTATTATGAAAAAGTACGTATCATAAAAAAAAAAAATCAGTTTTTAATTTTTCTTAATCTATATAGGTGTGCTTTTATCTATGGTCATGAAGGAGCCTTGGAAAAATTCACAAGAGATATGCAAGAGCGTTTAATTCGTGAAGTTATTGAACCAATGGCTTGTGATGGTCTGCGCACCATATCTGTTGCATATCGTGACTTTGTGCCTGGCAAAGCTGCCATTAATGAAGTACATATTGATGGTGAACCTAACTGGGATGACGAGGAAAACATTATGACGAATCTTACTTGCCTGTGTGTGGTTGGTATAGAAGATCCAGTTCGTCCCGAAGTACCAGACGCCATTCGTAAATGTCAACGCGCAGGTATAACCGTTCGAATGGTTACTGGAGACAACATTAATACAGCACGTTCAATTGCAAGCAAGTGCGGTATTTTGCGTCCAAATGACGACTTTCTTATTCTAGAAGGAAAAGAATTTAATAGGCGTATTCGGGATAGCAACGGAGATGTAAATTTTAACGTTGTTATTTCTTGACACAGGTTTTAACATGTAATTTTAATTGCAGATTCAACAACATCTTATTGATAAAGTATGGCCAAAATTACGGGTTCTGGCTCGTTCTTCTCCGACTGACAAGTATACTTTGGTTAAAGGTTTGTTTTTTTTGTGTCCGTACAGCGCTGCTTTTAAACTTTTAAAACTTGTGAAGTAATAATTTTTAAAGATTGGATAGAGAAATTTTCTATCTTTTGGGTCACTCGGATATGTCGTTTTTTTTGTTAAATGTTTTTTTTTGTTCATTGCCCATTGAATATGTCGTATGATTGATTTGTTCGTATAGTCTGAGAATAAACTTCTATAATGTATGAGCAAACAATGTAGTGTCATGTATGTATAAGCTAGGTATCGTTCTATTTATGCTAGCTCATTCTCGAAATATAAAACTTTCTTACGATTTATCTGATAACCAGCACATCTTATTCTACTATTAATTTGTTGAGGGTTTCCGTGTTATTTATATTTGCAATCAGCTAAATTTTCTATACAATGAGCAATGAATTTTAAAAATTGATAAGAACGGTTTACAGAATTAAATTAGTGTTAGAAAAAAAGAAGACAACAAGAAAAAAATTGTAGACTAATCAATCCTTAATTTAATTGTATTTAAAGGTATAATTGACAGCACTGTTAGTGAAAATCGTGAAGTTGTTGCTGTAACTGGCGACGGAACAAATGATGGCCCAGCGCTAAAAAAAGCAGATGTGGGCTTTGCAATGGGAATTGCCGGAACAGACGTTGCCAAGGAAGCTTCTGATATTATATTAACTGATGATAATTTCAGCAGCATTGTTAAAGCTGTAATGTGGGGACGAAATGTATATGACTCCATAGCGAAGTTTTTACAGTTTCAGTTAACGGTTAATGTAGTCGCTGTAATTGTAGCATTTATTGGTGCGTGTGCCGTGCAAGATTCTCCTCTTAAAGTAAGTTTTTTAAAGGAAATTAATTTAAACCACTCTAAAATAATCATATTATAGGCAGTCCAGATGTTGTGGGTGAATCTAATAATGGATACATTGGCATCACTTGCATTAGCAACAGAGTTTCCAACACCAGATCTATTGCTCCGTAAACCCTATGGCCGCACAAAACCTTTAATTTCTCGCACAATGATGAAGAACATATTGGGTCAAGCGCTTTATCAGTTGGTAATAATATTTGGATTACTTTTTGTCGGTAAGTGATATAATACATTTCCTTTTATTTGTATTATAATTAAATGCTTTGTAGGCGATTTAATACTTGATATTGAATCCGGACGCGGACAAGAACTCAACGCTGGCCCAACACAGCACTTTACAATTATCTTTAATACATTTGTCATGATGACATTGTTTAATGAAATAAATGCTAGAAAAATCCATGGGCAGCGCAACGTTATCGAAGGACTTCTTACAAATCCCATATTTTACACCATATGGATATTTACTATGATATCGCAGGTAAGCTTTGCTACATGGAAAGAATTTATAATATAAATATATACATTTACTTACCACCTTTGTTAACACCTTAATACTATTTTTAAGGTGTTAATCATTCAATATGGAAAAATGGCTTTCTCGACCAGGGCTCTGTCTCTAGACCAATGGCTCTGGTGTATCTTTTTTGGAATTGGTACACTTGTCTGGGGTCAATTGATTACCTCAGTGCCTACAAGAAAATTACCTAAGATATTATCGTGAGTAAATGTTTATCGTTATTACGCTTATAAATACACGCTTACAAATGGTAATTAACTCAATCATAAACGGCTACGATTGAATAATATAAGTTTAATAACAATTAAACATTATAAGTGTAGTCTATTTATTAACTCAGTGCTGGTTAGTCTTAACATTTTGGCTCTGGTTAATTAAAACATCAATATGTATTCTTTTTTTTGGATTAATTGATTACTTTGGCTGCAAACTTTATATTTTATAATTATAATTATTAAAATGCATGTATTATATTTCAGTATTTTAAATTTAATTTATAAATATATTTTAAACATTTTAAACTTCTTGAAAATAAATAAGAGGTTTTAGTTATAAGGTATATCAAAAAGAAAAGTTGTGTTTAATAAAAACAAGTTGTTCTAATTCTTAGTAGGTATCTTAAATACCATTATTTTAGTCGGGAAACTAAGATATATTTAAGTCATGTAAGTATGTTAAATTATATTTATGTATTTTCTGTCACAAATATACATTTTCAACTAGCAGGACATTTTTTCAACATTTTGTTTGATTAAAAGTACGTTATTCAAGCCTCGACCATAAAAAATTCGAAGTTTTTAATCAAGGCTTTAAAGATGGGTCAGCAGCTGACACATTTTGTTAAGTCTTTTATTCAAAAATTTGTCTGTAATGGAATAAAACTGTCAGAAATGCAAAAAAAATCAAGATAGATATTTATTACTTCCTTTTATAATGCCGCGGATCGTAATCATATGGTTTAGCTCATTTTTTTGTCACATACAGATTATAAACAATTTTGTTTTTATACCCTTGCAGAGGGTATTATAGTTTTGGTCAAAACTGTGCAACGCAGTGAAGAATACATCTCCGACCCTATACAATATATATATTTTTGATCAGGATCGCGTCCTGAGTTGATATAAGCATGTCCGTCTGTCTGATTCTACGCGAACTAGTCGAATTGAAACTTTGCACACACCCTTCGTTCCTTTGCCTTCCTTATAAGTCGGACAACTTTATCCTATAGCCGCCATATAACTGATTGATTGGAAATACAAAAGCTTTGGTGTTTCATAAGAATCGGCCGACTATATCCTATAGCTGCCATATAACTGAACGATTGAAAATGACATTTTTTTGGTGTTTATACCCGTTACTCGTAGAGTAAAAGGGTATATTGTATTCGTGCAAAAGTATGTAACAGGTTGAAGGAAGCGTTTCCGACCCTATAAAGTATATATATTCTTGTTCAGGATCACTAGCCGAGTCGATCTAGCCATGTCCGTCTGTCTGTCCGTCTGTCTGTCTGTCCGTATGAACGCTGAGATCTCGGAAACTATAAAAGCTAGAAGATTGGCATTTTGCATGTAGATTTTAGGAGTTCCTACGCAGCGCAAGTTTGTTTCAAAATGGTGCCACGCCCCCTCTCACGCCCACAAGCTACAAGCTGTGGACACAGTTTTGATGCTATTATGAAAATTTTAATTGAAATGTATTTGTTTCGTCAATACCTATCGATTGGCCTAATAAAAGTTTGCCACGCCTACTTTAACGCCCAAAATCCCATTAAACGCTTAAGCCTGGCTAGCGCCTACATTTCCGCCTTTCATGGCGCCATCTAACGGATGACTTAGGAACAGCTGGCCAAGGTGCTCAACAGAGTCAACGTTAATTCTCGATAAGGATTTCTATTAAAGGAAATTGCGATGGTTTTCATTTGTCAATACCGAACTATATCCCAAGAACTATGCAAATCAAATCAAGTTAGCCAAATTGGAGGTCTGAGTGAAAACATACAAGAAGGCATATTTATATTAAGTTGTTTAGCTGAGTAACGGGTATCTAATAGTCGAGGCACTCGACTAGCGTTCTCTCTTGTTTAAAGTTAGGAACTTGAGATTTTTTATGGGTTTTATTTTTGGCCAACCAATATAATTTACAGAATATTCTGCAAGGGTATATCAACTTCGGGTCCGCCCAAAGTTAGCTTTCCTTTCTTGTTTTAGATTAAAATGACTATATTACTTCTTAGCATTTTTTTGCTCAGTGTAAAAGCTATTGACATAAAATTTAACAAATTATACGTTTACAATCGTAGGCGAAAAAAAAATTTAAAAATTCTGAGACGGGTACGTTTACTAGATCAAATATGTTTTTATTACACCTTCCGCTAATTTTAATTTAAATCATAGAAAAAGTTACGTTACATTAAAAATAACTTACAATTTTAACATTTGAATCCAAGAACTTGATCATTTTAAAACTTTTTTAATTGGTTATTAGTATGAGCAGACCACTATATTCTTAATCTGACATAGGTTATATTAAATTAGATAAGTAATATTTTTTTTGTGCCGCTTTTTTCTAAATTTTGTAATACAGCTTGAGTTTATAGAACTTTGTTAGAGTAGTATAACAGCCATAAACAAATTAATAAACTATTAAAATACAATTAGACAACTCAAATAATTTAATAATTTAAAAGTTTAGCAATTTTAGAATTATTTTCGTTTATATTTGCAACGCAATTTTTGATCAACAACTAGACGGATGAGTTAATCTAGCCATGTCCGTTTTACAAAAACTAGTATCTCAGTTTTAAAGCTCGGGATGAAACTTTCCCAAAAGTTAAATCTATTGCAGGCGAAAAATAAGTCGGGCTGGGGCGAATCAGACGACTTTATCATTTATATATATTTTTAAAATTTCGTGCGTTTGTTCACTAGCTATAATAATATATTTTATAGAATATCTCGGGATAACAAAGCTGTTTAAAAAAATGTACACATCAGCGTCAACGAAGAAAATATTACCAAGCAAAATAGATTTGCTGTCGATAACCAAAATATCACTATTTAAAAAAAGGGATCAAAAAATTAGTTATTGACATTCCCTAAAAAAAAATGTTGGTAAATCTTCTTCATTGACGTTCCCAAACTCTAGAATATTGTACAATAACTCAAAGATAACAAAACCAACAAGGTAAATTTAATTTATTTTATTTTCCCGCCAACTTAGGAGATGTTCAATAAATTGCAATCAAATTTTTTTAGACTGCAGGCGCTCAATTTATGTTCATGAATAATCCTTTTCCAAAGCTTATCAATATTTTTTACACTTGGAAAACGGCTTAAATGGGTGTATGCATTCATACACCAGACCCTTCGACAGCTAAGCACAGTGCGACTTTTCTAAAGCATAAGCAGACAGTGCCTAAAGAAAGGAACTTGTAGATTATCTTTTTTTTTCCCATTAATGAGAGTTGTTTTTTATTATACCCTTGCAGAACACATTATAATTTCAGTCAAAAGATTGCAATGCAGTGAAGAATACTTTCGACCCTATAAAGTTTATATATTCTCTCAGCATCACCAGGAGAGTCGATCTAGCCATGTCCGTCTGTTTCTACGCAAACTAGTCCATCAGTTTTAGAGCTTTCCCAAAAGTTGTCTCTCGCGGTACTTATAACTGCTCGCTTATAGATTTAAATTTTGTTTTCTTGGAACAAATAAGTAGAATGAGTAACAATATTTTGGTCTGTTTCTGCTAAAAGTCTTGTAATTAGAACTGACCAGTCTAACATGGCTTGCTGGCTGTGTGAAAACGTGGTGCACCAAGTGCTCTGGTTTTACTGGACAAGTGAGGATTTTCTAAGGGGCCAAATTATCAGTTCTGCTGTGACGCTTGTGTCGAGGTTGCGAACGCTATGAAATCGTAACTGAGCCAAACTAACCTCTCTGCGCTAGACTTGCAGTTTAATAGTCGTAAGCTATTAGAAGAGGCCCTTAGCGCAAAAAAGCCGCTGGTGGTAAGCAGCAAAAGGGGAACACCCCGCAACCTCAATAAAAATATTAAAAAGAATCAGCAGCTGATTGCGGCAAACCAATAAATGCTGCTAAGATCAGCAGCTAAAAAAGATTCGGTATCCGAACAATCCGTAGTAGAATGCATGCAACCAGGGACTTTTTAGAATTCCGATTTATCCGCTGTGGTACAAATAGCTACACAGGGGCCACAAGGGACTACTGAGTCCGGACAACCGGCTCAAAATGGTTCTCCAGAAACAATGTCTGCTCCACTGAAATCCCTTTTACTGGTTCCACTAAAGAAAACAATTTTCGTTTCTAAGCTTTCCCCTGATCAAACATCTTCTGATATATTGTCTTAAGGGGTTATCCGGGTCTTGGAGCACGAAAAAAAGCCTATTTTCGTGAATTTTTTTAAAAGATCTTACGACAATTTCACAAATTTCGTTTATTGTACATTAATGTTTATGGTTTGACCAACATTGTGTAAAAATTTGAACCAAAAATTTTTAAAATTGAGCCGTTGAGGCAGGCTTGAACTTGACCTCTTAAAAAATTGTGTCTTTGCGGTAGGCAAAATATCTCCGTCAATTTGTATCTGAAATCAAAAAGCCAATATTATTCTGATAGTGTATGTGTCTCGCTTGTCCTCTACGAACCATTTTTTTTTTAAATTAAAATTTGAATTTTTTGTAGCGCTTTTCATTAAAAGTGTCTTTTTTTACGTAAATGTTGGCCATTTTTTGGCTTATAAAATGAGCTGTAATTAAAAATTAAAAAAATCCCTCCGTTAAGGACAAGAGAATTATGCCTAAAAGAAGTGTGCAAAAGCAAAAGTTGATCGGTGCAATAGTTTTTGAGAAATCGTGACTACCGACTTCAAAAAAGTGGTTTTGAGAAAAACGCGTTTAAAGTGCCGCATCTGCCCGACGCCAGAGCCAGAATTGCCTGTTGTGACGTTCGACGCACTGGGCTTTAAATTTCTCCCATTCCTACATTTTTGCCTCGATCGACTTGAAATTTTCAGACTACATTTCTGAAACTCTGTACTATTATTTAAAAAAGTTTGAAAAAAATGAATTTTTGAAGTGTCAAGACCCGGATAACCCCTTAAAAATCAAGACAAAACTAAAGCCGATAGTAATTGAATAAAGAGAGGGGGGCCCGTGGAAGTAAAACTTCCTAGTGCGAGG